TGTGACTAATAGAAATACAATAGGTTTCTTAAGATGTATTCATTTATTATATATTTTTTAGTGATTAGACGACCTGGTGGTTTATCTAAGGTTCGTTGAGTTTTTCTTTTATCGAAGATAAATAGAATTACATGGTTGAAATCTTGCATGACTCTGGAAACATAACAAGAAATACGGAACATATTTTGTTTGTTTTTAAAATTTTTATACAATTTTAATAAAGAAATATGCAACTCGTTTTTTAGAATTCCATGACTTTAGTTCCTTGGATTTCATGAATGATAAAGTAAAATTTGTATCTACGTTGGAACAMATATTGGAAATGAGAACAAGAAATARTTTATTATAAATTTAGATTTCTTAATAAAATTGTAAACATATATATGGTTTGTTCTGCAAGCTTCTCTCTCGTCCCTTTAGTTTCGAGGTGAACAACATGTGAGGTGAGGTCGAACTCACAACCTCTTTAACAATTTTGAGGTGACAATTAGAATCACTAATATAAATAGCAAAAAATATATGGATCATTTAAAATCTTTTTTTAAAGGTAATGAATTAAAGTAATTTTTTTTAACCCATGAATATTCGAGGCAAGTTGCACGTACAATGATGCTATCAATTTACTCTAGCACCTCTTGATCCATGAACTACCTGTAATGGTGAGTTAAGTTTTTGAAACCAAGAATAATAATTTATGTTCAAAGTAGAAAATTTTACCTTTTTTTTTAATATAAAAAAATAACTTAGGGACGCGTATSTGTTCGAACCCTACCAAACAAGAGTATTTTGATTTGTAATAATCAACAAAAGTATATGTAGTGTTATATATAAACATGTTTTTCACCATTTATGTTTTTGTTTTATAAAATATAAAATAGTATTTTTTTTATATGTCAGTCCTTTTAACTAATGGTTTTTTAACAAAATTTTAATAGATGAGTTGAGTAATTTTAATTGGCTTGATAGATGCAATTATTAGTTTAGAAATTTAATTATCTTRACCTATAAAATTTATGAGTATAAATTGATTTTTTCTGAATTAAATTCAATGATTATGGGTTACTTGTTTTTTATGACTATTTTAGCATATTATGTTGGTTATATATGTTCGAAAATATATTAACATTTATTTAATTGGTGTAATATTTACTCTATTGAGTTTCTCGCTTTTATGATTTTTTTAACAGCATATTGGGTTAATATTTTATTGACAAATTAATCATGATGTTATATATTATTTAATGGATTTAATTTCAATTAAATAAAGTACTTTACGAGATGGAACGGTTTTAAGACAGTAATTGGTTYGAATCTCTACCTTTACYTGGTATATTAGAAAGATAAGTGACTTATCATTGAACATCAGAATTGACAACTTAATGTTAGTTTATAAAAAAAGAAAACTAGATATATATTTTTTCTTTTKAGWRAAAGTACAAACAAACACAAACTAAWATAAATCATTTTTTTAAAATTATTTAAAGGAACTGTTGTTAAGACAAGGTGTCAATTACCACTTAACTAAACTCATGTAAAATCGGTTAACCAGTCGAATAGATTAGTTAAATAGGTTTAAATAYGTAAGACAACTTTAATTTATTATATTTAATAAACTTAAAAAATAATTATTATTTAAAATCAATATTTATTAAGTTAAAATACTTTACAATAATATTAGATCTTTTCAAACCTATGATTCAATCTYCATCACATGTGAGAGGTTAGGACGAGTGATAGGAATTTAACTATCTACTCGTCTTCTTYCCCTTAATTTTCGAAGAATCAATCTGACCTTATTTAATAAGATTACTTATAGATTTTGAACTAGTTCGATTTCATTGGCTTTTCTATATGCATTTTGAATACTGTCGTTTTTAGCGTCTCATCTTCTCTAGAAAAGTGAAACTCGAACCTCTCAACATGTGGCATAATTAAATAACTCATTCGTGRTGAAAGGAGAATCATTAAGGAGATTCAAATTTATCTTGGTTGGATAAAATTACTTGACATAATAGACATAAATTTAGAGATCCCTAAAAATTCTTTAGGGATTAAATTATTTTTATTTTAAATTTTACTGATTCACTAAACATCATGCCATGTTAATTTAACGCCAAACTAAAAAAATATGATTGAAAAATRTTAAAACGTAAGAGACTAAATTTATCCGGTTGTTATCCTACAAAGAACTAAAAATAGTATTATTCTAAAAATGATGTGAAACGTGATCAAGGTTTCATGATATTTTATTTCAATCCGGAAGAACATTCATACAATTTTTCAAACTTAATATATAATTTGATAAAGTTCATCTTTTTATTTGATAAAAATAAACTCTATCTTCAAAGTCTTTTCCAACTTTGTCTCTTTGCATAATTAAGAATTCCCATTACAGAGACGCCATTTGTGTGAGAGAGAGAATTTAATGACTATCAGCAGATACATTGGATAATCTCAATGACTTTTCTGAGTTTTCCGCATTGGATTTTATCCGTTTGAGGCGTTTCATCCGGCAGTTACGCAAAATCGATCATCAAATTGCTGAGAAGGGAAGCTCTGTGTTAATTATCTCTTCCAAATGGTAACTATTTTGAGGAGATCGCAGACAGTGTTGAACTCCATTTGCAGGAGGAAATTTTCTTCTTCCTCTGATGGCGATCTTACGAAACCGAGCGGAAAATCCATGAACCTGTATTCTGCTATCAATCAAGCGCTTCATATTGCGCTCGAAACTGATCCTCGGTCTGTTTCTTTCAGAACCCATCTCGTTTTTTGGTTTGTGATGGACTGCAATTTGATTTTCTGCGGAGATACTGTAATCGCATGCTGATTTGAGATACTTCTTGGCTGATTTGTTGTGGGTTTTTCTTATGGGTTTCGTATGTTTAATCGACTTGTTTCTTTCGTGTTCTTTCATTGTTGGTTGCTGGTTGGTTGCCCTTTTTACGAGCCTGTGTTTAGAGTTGGCCAAAGCCAAACACCGTATCAAAGCGAGCATTGGAAAAATAAGAGAACATCACTGAATGAGAGAGTTCRAAATAACAATACCGATGGCTAAGGTAGTGAGAGCTTGCATGGAAATGAAAGTGAAGGAAAATTGATGAAACATGTCACCACATTTTGTAGAAATTGTTTGTGGGCTGGTGTTTTGTTTCCTCGTTCTATCACGAGACGAAGCTTCCTTCGGTTATTAATAGAATTAGGCGAAACCATGTTATGTGAGAAAGGCTATATCTGATTTGATTGGATGAACTCCCATAATTAGATGGTTCTGTGGAACTGTGGAAAATTGCATTGTTCTACAATTCTTAAGGAGTGAATGGAAAGATTCCAGAGATTGTTCATTCTAGGGCCTCCCTTTGGAGTTCTTCTATTATATATACATAGAGGATTGTACTCCCCTTGGCTAATTGAGCTGATTTTTTTATCACCCTTTTGTACTTAACATAGTTTTATGCTCTGGTAGCAATTTTGTTTTAAAAGGACATTATACTTTGCCATTCAGTTCTTATGTATTTGGAGAAGATGTGGGCTTTGGTGGGGTCTTCCGTTGCACAACTGGATTGGCAGAACGATACGGGAAGGACCGAGTTTTCAATACCCCTCTTTGCGAGCAGGTAACTTATTTATCCACTTTGAAACTTTGGAGTCCAATATGCGAGCAGAGCATATTAACTTTTCCTTATAATCAAGTATATGTGATAAGTTTCATTTTAACTTTTCCTTCATTCAGGGAATTGTTGGCTTTGGCATTGGTCTGGCAGCAATGGTAATTTTGAGGAATTTGTGCGCTCATTTCATCAGCATGAATTCCAAGCCAGTMATTGGACTTCTTTTTGTATTATACATCTTCTCCCTTTTCTAACACGGGAAATCATTTCGCATGATAGGGAAATAGGGCCATAGCAGAAATTCAGTTTGCAGATTACATTTATCCAGCTTTTGATCAGGTAAGCTTTCTTCTTCATTGAAAATTTTTCTCTTGCCTCTTGTTTGGCATTATACGAGAAACTTCTACCTTTATAGATTGTTAATGAAGCTGCAAAGTTCAGATACCGTAGTGGAAATCAGTTCAATTGTGGTGGTAAATTTTCTCCTCTCTTTGTATACAGTCTACTTCTTTCGTGTTTTTTCTTGTTATTTGGCCCTTCATGTCGTGCATATTTGTGACTCCTATCAGGTTTAACTATTAGAGCACCATATGGAGCTGTTGGTCATGGTGGTCACTATCACTCACAATCACCAGAAGCTTTCTTTTGTCATGTTCCTGGCATCAAAGTATGCTTCTGTCTTCTTCTGATCTGCTAATTATAGGGTTTTTCAGTCGTGCATTAGCTTCATGATATCAATCCTTGATTCTCTTAGCCGTCAAATTCCTTAGCGGGCATTCGTTTATTTCTTTCTGTTAATAGTTCCCAACAAAAGGCTCTGATCGTATTACACCACATAAAAATTTGAAGAATTTATCACTGTTTCATAGCCATTTTTGTTGAGAATGTACCAACACCAGGAGATATTGATGTGCATCGAGTGATTTGTTATTTTTCAAACGTCATAGCATGAATTGCTATTTTTGAAGAAAACGCAAATATATTTTTTTCAACATCATTCTTGTGCTAAATAGGTTGTCATCCCGCGAAGCCCGTACCAGGCAAAAGGATTGTTACTTTCATGCATCCGTGACCAAAACCCTGTTGTATTTTTTGAGCCCAAGGTAACTCTTTTTCATGAAAGCCTTTCTGAATCTTTTGGATCAAAGTTTGTAAACCAGAATTTAGGAATGCAAATATTTTGACCACGTCTTGGTCTTTAGTGGCTTTACCGTTTAGCAGTGGAAGAAGTTCCTGAGCATGATTTCATGTTGCCTCTATCAGAAGCAGAGGTATGCTCTCTACATTTCCTTTTTTTTTTTTTTCTCTGTTCAATTTTACATCGACTATTCCATATAGCGTTATTTACGCAACATTTGGCAAACCGGAAAATGTGATATTCAGGTGATCCGAGAAGGCAATGACATTACATTGGTTGGTTGGGGAGCACAACTCTCTGTCATGGAACAGGCTTGTATTGATGCTGAAAAAGTAAGTTTCTTAATTTTCTGTTTTGTTTTTATGATTACAGTCTCAAAAAAACCTGGTAAATGAAATTTGAAAATATGATTTATGATAAACAAATGTGGCCTTTTCATGATTTTTTCCTTAAATATTACTATAGAAAGAGATCATGATCCATGAACTATGTGATCAATTCTCCATATTCTGGCCTTTTCTGGTATCTTTATAATGTGACAATTAAACTTAATATGAGTGAGGTTGAGCTATCAATACTCCTGACTTGTTCTAAAACCTTTTGAAATGGTTGAGATTTAGTTAATGTAGGACATGCATAGCTTTTAAAAATTTCAATCTATGAATTCATTAAGTTCCAAATAGGATGGGCCGCTATTTAGAGAGAACGAATGATCTCAATTCTCGACATATTACAGGATGGAATCTCCTGTGAACTGATAGATCTGAGAACTCTACTACCTTGGGACAAGGAAACAGTGGAAGCCTCAGTTAAGAAAACTGGGAGACTTCTTGTAAGTTCTAGTTTCTCTGTTCATAACAAGTTTCCTTAGAACAGTAATTGAGACTAATATAGATTATCATTAATCTCCATTTCTCTCTATAGATCAGCCATGAAGCTCCGGTTACTGGAGGCTTTGGTGCTGAAATATCCGCTTCCATCGTTGAACGCTGCTTCTTACGGGTAAGCATGAATTTCAGTATATTGCCATGATAGTACCAAATTTTTGTTCCTATTTCCTCCTTATATAGTCCAATGCATCTCCATTTCCCTAGACTCTAACATTAGATTGCATCGATATAAATGCTTAGTAGAAATTCCAAAACTTGTTCGAAAGGAAGAATGTTGACGAATGACATTCAATTTGTTGACTACCTAGCATTGCTTATCAAATCTWGTTCTAAAATCTGATATTATTGTGTAGTTCAAATAATCCCATATTAGGACGTAGCTACAATAGTTAATCACTATTAGCAAAACAGAAATATCGAAAAGAAAATCCTCTCCCACAGCCCACAGGTCTGTTTTCAACACCCCTCCCCAGTCCATAGGGCAAGAAATTTTTCCTCTCACTAGACCGTTCCAAGATTAGTATCAAAGCTTAAAATTTGGTTTGAAATATTGAAGGTAAAAAAAAAACCAAAATTATCCTATATGGTCTGTCTACCATAATTATTTGCAGGTTTATAGTAATTTGAAGAATGTCATAAATTTGGTCCTACTTTCGTCTTTAGTTAGAGGCAGAGCGAAGAAGGAAGGATAGAGGCAATTGCACCCTCGTCCTCTGTCATGATTCAAAAAGCATACATAAAATATTTAAGATCTCTGCAATTATCTATAGTTCACCTCCCACTTTTAGAACTAAAAWTTGATATAYATAAAAGTTAGAACGTAAAATTTTGCCCCTACTGAGAAAATTTATGGCTTCACCTCTTGTAGTCTTTTTTCCTTTTAAAAAAGGCCATCGAAGCGTGATCTTTTAAGTTACGTTTGGTAACGTTTTCATTTCTTATTTCTGTTTCTTTATGCATGACCCCTACTGTCCTACATTCATGAATTCAAGTATTAAATTTTTTTTTATTTATGTTTTTGAAAAAATTGGAAATGGAAACACAAAAGAAGAACTGTTTTGGTTGTTTCCAAAATTTCCATACAATTTTGAGAATGTTCTAAAAAATGGAGAAACAAGAAACATAGTTAGTTATAAAATGCTTAGATTTATTAAGAAAATTGGAAACGAGAAACAAGAAGTAAGAATGTTATCAAACGAGCCCTTAAGGCTTAATTATCTGTCTCATCTTTTGTTGCTACTCACATGACAGATAAAAATCTAAACTCTTARAACAAGAACATTAGCTAGTAGAACCCGTACTAGTTTTGAATTTTACAAGTCTTTTATGTTATATTCTTGTGATCTACAAACACAAAAATGAGTCTCTCTGTGTTGTGTTGCAGTTGGAGGCACCTATTTCCAGAGTCTGTGGATTGGACACTCCCTTCCCTCTTGTGTTTGAACCTTTMTACATGCCTACCAAGAACAAAGTAAGAGAATATTTTCCATTTTGTTGTGAAACATTTGGCAAAACTTCATTCTTAACCCCACCACACAACTTCTGTGTCTGGTTTAATACAGATATTGGATGCCATCAAATCAACTGTAAAATATTAGATCATAATCAAAGATGAACGCAAACTTGGCSCCATCCTCACAAAAACTGACAACAAGAGGAAGAGGAATGTTGTTGATTCCAGCAGAGTCCCTCATTGAACTGTAAATGATGATTGTCCCATTGTTGCAGACCCTAAAGGGATGCCCTTCACTTCACTGTTAGACAACAATGGATTTTAAATTGTGGATGTATGGATATTGAGATGATTGGGAATAAAAATTATTATATTGTATACATATTTTGTGCATTATCTTTAAGAATTAATAATTGCTTCCAGATGATGGAAGTCTCCATGGTCTACGTGGTTAAAAAATCCATTGATTCAAGTTAATCAACTTATAATTTAATTTGGGTTGGGTTCAAAATTCTATATAGATTACCTTAGTTTAAAGGTTTACCTAAAATTTTTAAACCAAATCAATTTCCACATTATTAATTTTAAAGTAATTTATTTTACTTGTTATAAAATTATMTATGGATATATTTAGTTTAGTTTTTATTTCAATCAATAATTTTTATTTTTTTCTAGATTATTTATTCTCCAACCACTTAAAAATTTTTGGTGTGTAAATTTTTATCGTATAAATAAATATTGATTTATGGATTTTGATTCAACGTTAAAAGATTCGAAGAGGTTCCTTCCTTTTTTTTTTTTCTCCTCTCTCTCGACATTGAAACCACTCCTTGCCTAGTAAAATTGGCGGACCAATGCCATCGAAACCGGACTCCAACCAACTCCGAAATCCTGGCTACCTTCACCATCACCGTCACCAGCGCCTTTTTCGAACTCCAAGTCCTCGTCGGCGTCGAGCGCAGAGAATCTCTGGCCGAGAACGAGAGTGAGAGGAATTCCGAGCAAGACGCTTTCTGAAATGCAGTCCCAGAGGATTTATTTTTTTGGGCGTACGTTCCCAGATTTCTTAGAGAGAAAGAACCCAATTTAGAATGATAGGACATCAAGGAGGGATATTTAAGAACAAACCAACCACTGCTGAACATGTGGGTTTTATAAATTTAATTAAAACGATAGAAAACATAAMCAATGCATGCGATTTCTATCCAACCTGTGACTTCCTTGTCGCCACGTCACACTAAAGTCGCATCCAATGACAGTAACTTCCACTAATGGCCGCGATATCGACTTAAATCGTGTCTTATGGTTGCAAGTTCATCTTAAATAGCAACTATTAGACGGCGGTTTACCTGAAAATATTTTTGTCTTTTGAAAAAAATCCTAGAGAGGGACATATTTTTATATTTTTAAATGGTTCACGATTTTGATTGGAAAAAGAGAACCCAGTTACAGAGGCGTATTTTTTTTTATTTCCAAATTGTTCATGATTTTAATTAAAAAAAATCGATAGAGATGGAGAGGGAGAAAAAAAAAAGAACAATTGCACGGAGTAATTGGATTTTGAAAACATGAATCTTTATTAAAACTACTTTTATTTTTATGAAATTTACTTAAAATTTAAAAAATATTTTTGAAAAACAAAAAATAGAAAACAAATATGGTTATATGGTTAGAATTAAATCAAATCAACCCAACCATAAAATAGATTTAATAATTAATGATTGTCTGGGTTTGAATAAATTATATCCCGAACAATTAATTGAGATCTAACATCTATATTCTATGGAAAGACTTGACAAAAAATAATGATATGGCATAATTTTTAATTTTTTTAAATTTTATCATCCTAGATGTTCTATGCAATTCTATTTACAAGAACCAATGGGGCCTAAATTTCTTGTACTTGTTCCTATCCCTAATTTGTTACTCAAAACCCATAATTATTGAGAAACATACAATTATATTAACATTACCAAACAGGCTTCCTAAGTAGGTGATGACAGATGACATGAGCTTGAGTAGAGCTTAATAATAATTGCATAATTGTCCGATGGTGAGTTGATGGAACAAAAATTTCTTCTATACACAATCCTGAATCCCCCACTTTGATCACATAATATCACAGATATCAGAATCAAAAAAGTTTGTCACACCTTCCCTCCACATTTTTATCACATAGACAGACACTAAAAAGACATGTAATGCTTCATCATTAGAGAACTCCATTTTATGCCTAAAACCGAAAATCTTCCATGTATTGTCATTGTATCTTCAAACAGGAAGCAATCTCTCCATAAATACACTTGTTCCAGGCTAGCCTTTTYGTCTCTGTGCCAGTCATTTTCGTCCCCAAAGCATGAAGGAAAATCTACTTCCCAACCCAAAATCTGCAAACAAATCTTCCCTTAGACATCCAGTATAAGCATTGTTGCTTATATTTTCAAGAACAGAAAACCAAAACTGAAATCATTGTCTCGCTATCTTTTATTTGCTTAAAAACTTTCTTATCAGTCACCATGTAAGCCCTCTAAAATCTCAATAGAAGCAAGCATCTTACCATTGCTGGTTTTTCCTGAACTCTGTAAGCACTGGGTATATGTTCTCAAATGCTGTATACGTCTCCTCCCTCACCTGAACAATTCAAAGTACAGAACGTAACAGAAGAACAAATATGACTGGAGTTGAGAATTCTGTAATTCTGTTTCTGAGGGATATTTACAGATTGATCAAAAGTGGTCATACATAAACCATATTAAGCCCCTCTTTTACAGCATAATTGAATCTTTAAATGTTATTCAGATAGTTTATGCATAATTATGAATTAACTGAAAGCTGGAGTATGAAGGATAAAAGAGATGTTGTCCAGGTTACGTGTGTTCCAAGTTATGAACTTCACAAATTCTTCATCATGTCACCATTGTAGGAAAATTTTACACCATTACTAATCATGGCACCACCTAACAACAGTATTGGAATAACCAACACAAACAGTTACTTGCATCTTACAGGAAGTCTAAAAACATTCCCATCATGATGAAGTTAAATTAAGATTTCTTTCCAGTTTAACAGGAAACAGTTTGTATTGGAGAAAAACCAAAATGATCGAGTCAAATCGAAGCCACAAGTTAGGGAGGCTAGGCTAGACAGGCGCCTTTAATCAGGTAAAATCAAAAGGAAAGAAAAGGGGCCAATGACAAGTCTCTGGTTCCAACAATCACAGAAACGGCAATAGAGTATTACCTTAGCTCCTGTGAGAACGATTTTTCCAGAAACAAAGATGAGAAGCACAATCTTTGGTTGTTTCATCCGATAAATCAACCCAGGAAACAACTCGGGCTCATACTGACAAAGAAATGAAAATCAAGGTTTCAAAAATAAATTACACTCTCAAATATATATGAAGTTCAASATCACAATGTAATGTTTAACCTGATAAAGAATATAGCATATTTCAATTACAATAGAGAAATTTAAACATTATAAATAATAATAACCCTCAAAGCAATCTGATGAAGGGAATTTATCATACATCATTTAGAAGACGAGCCTTAGATTTTTATTTTTTTTAAGAAACCGAAAGCCTTAGTGAAATACTATCACAAACTTGATGGAACATAAAAAATAGTTCTTTGGMTAAGCCTTGGGCTCCATACAGGTAAAGAATGCAAATCAACGAATCATTTAAAAGGTTGATGAAACAGCAGCCAAATTGTATAAGATGTACGCACATTCAAGTCATGCGCCTAAGGGAATAATATATGACAATGTTAGCAGGAAAACGCTTGACTAACAAAGAGAAGAGGCAGGATTGATATGGAAATACCAAAACTAAAAGTGCACCTCCAGAATTCAACAACGAGGACATAGAAAACAACCCCATATAATACACATACAGACCAAGATGAAGATCTATTAGAGCTTACACTTGAAAAGGCACCRTGCGAATATGCAAGACCCTCAAGCCTTATGGGAAATTTAACATCGCAGGAGCCAACAATATTCTGAATCTTAAAATCCTGCACCAGATTAAAAATGCATATTGCGTATATAAATACAAGAACAAACAGAGAAAATAAAAAATATTTTAATAGGTTTGGCTCAAGGCATGAATAGAAATAATTCATAAGGTTACTCAATAGTTAGTTTAAACGTGAATGGTCAAACATCTATAAGTCCGTCCAATACAATTCGCAATTCTATGCCACACAATTGGCCAAAAGGAGCATGTGTAAATATTCTCCTGTTTCTTTTAGCCACATTAAGGCATATATCTTATCTTCCATTTCTCTTTTGTCTTTTTTTCATTATTATGGGAGTTTTTTTTTCTATTTAAATAAATAAATAAATAAGCATCCGAATCAAATTGCAGTGCCATACAACTGGAGAGAACAGCACATACCTTAAACTTAGCAGGAAAACCAAGTTTTTGGATGATTCGGGCATACTGGAAAGTGGAATCAAGGTACAAGATCAGATTAAGAAAAGCTTCATATTAAAAGAAGGGAGTTGTTGCATGAGACGCCCAGTAACTTTTAGGTTAAAAAGAAACTTAACTCACTGAGCATTAACTGATTAGTGATTCCCAAAAGACCACTTAATACCAGATAATACATTGACCCTTAATAATGTAAATATATATCCATGCGTACACTTTTTTGACAAAAAAATGGTAATACTAAATAATACTTTCAATTATCAACTATTTTCCACACCTAAAACCTAACAACCAGATTTCAACCTCATAAAACTAATTTTTGGCCCATAATTTGAAGTTTTTGGCAWATATATCATTTTTCAAGATTTAGAAAATCTTTAATCTCTAGATCATTTATAGATCATGACAACAAAGTCTGTAAGCTATAAACTTTCAGAATTCACATTAAGTCACTGGAAAACTAAATAAGGTAGAAATTAGGAAAGGGGAATAAAAAGTTTGGGTGTCTAGTTTTCCAAATAAAATTTTAAAGGTTATTTTAAGGAGTTAAGAACACCAAATTTTAACAAGAAAAAGAAATGGACTGATGACTGATGCAAGAATACTAGTTGGATTGCCCATAAAAAATTAATGAACCAAATGATAACCATCTAAGATAAACCCAAGTAGACCTTCTCAAGCTGCGTAATGTATTCTATCATCAATTTCTTAACAGTCAGTATATAGAGAGAATTTCACAACGTCTACACCAACAGAACACTAGAAAGAAATTAAATACCTTTCGTGCTGCTAATTTTGATTGTTGTTCACTCTTAGCACCAGTACAGACCTACACCACATCATACATCTGAATAGCTAGAAGAAGATATTGTGAAAGTGCAACAATCAAATTACAAGAAATAGAACCCCATCCTTATAACTAAAGTGTCCCTCAACCTAAATTCAATCTGAAAAGATTTAGTCAAGTCTGAATATATTCGAGAGGAAATGATTTTGAAACAAATAGTTGTAGAATGTGAGCTTTTGTGCAAAGAATATTCACAGACCTAAAATAAAATATAAACATTAGTTTGGGTTTATTTATATGTAAAATATCATACTGGTCATGACATGGTATCACGGAGATACAACACAGGATTATGCCCCTACTCAGAGTTGACTATGATACACAAACTTGAAGGTGATAAAATAGGAARTTTTCCCTTTGCCTGATTAAGACATCGACCTCTAGCAAACATGTCCACCTAAGCTTTTTACATGTTTGTAATTTTCCCTTATCAATTCGAACCAAAAGAAGTTACAAGTACATGACAAACATAAATATATAATAAATTATTGAAAGCAACTGCAAAATGGCAGGCCAACTCTCATCACTGGTAACTTACCATCTTTCCAGATGCAAATATCAATGCTGTGGTTTTTGGTTCCCTTATTCTCATAATAACAGCAGCAAAACGCTGWCATTGAAAAAAACAATTGAAAATCTTAAAACTCAATATCAAATACAAAAGGAAACAATGTTCTACCCTCAAAATAGATTCTTGACATCCATGATGTATTTCAACAATTATTTGTATTTACTTATCATAAAACACCACTTGCCTTAGGGTTGTATTCAGCATTGCGAGCTTGGAGAGCAATGGCCTTTAGATCCAACTTGCAGTCCAAATTCACCGTTGACACAATGTTCCTAAAAACAGTATAATGCATTGTACACGCATCAGGAGACATAAATAGTACAGTACATGCATGGAGTTCAACCCATAACAAATAGACATTTGATGCCTGTCCTATATCTTTTACTTCACAAAGGGATTAAACCAAGGAACAGTATAATGCATTGTACACGCATCAGGAAACATAAATAATACAGTACATGCATGAGATTCAACCCATAAAAAATAGACATTAGATGCCTGTCCTATATCTTATGCTTTACAAAGGGAGTATTTCTAAAAAAAATTCTTCAAGAGGTTGTCTCAAAAAGGAACTCTTCAGTTCGAGCTACRTTCAAAACCGGGGAAAGAAATGAAATACTAGTAATACTAACCCGACATACTATGATTTATGTTGGAGTATAATTGAAAATTGAGCAAGGAGTATAGACGATAATCTTTCTCCAGAGGTAAATTACTTTCTATATGTTTGATTTACAAAGCTTACCAGTCTATTTTTTGTCCTTTCTATAAACTTCCTTGTAGGGTAAAAATTTGAAAGTAAGCTTTTTTATGTCTTTGAATCTTTTCAGAGATTCTCTGAATTTGAAAGTTAGCTTTGCCATTTGAGGGAAAAGTCCAAAATGATTAAAAGGAACATTTGGGACCTATACTGTAGTAGTTCTTCAAATATTTTCAATTTTTAACTCACATTTTCAACATTGAGAATAATTCTTGAGGACTTCAGAAAATAATGAGATTTGTTTAAGTAAAACATAATGTAGGGATGATGGATTAAACCTTGAAGGTAATAGTGAGCTAAGCTCGGATTGACAAAAAGAGTGAGAATATATGGATCATAYACATACACAAGTATCACATAGTTGCATGTTTATATCTTAGTCATCATCAGTATCACATATTTATATTAGAGATTACAATTTATTTCAGGAAGGGAGAAGCTTTCCTGACTTATTCCAGACAAGGACAATGAACATTCAACATCCTAATCTTGCTAAATTCTTAGTTTTTTATATCTATATCAATATATGTGAGAATCAACTTTATACTAATGTACTAATGAAAATTGATATATTTTTACATAAAATAACTAAACTATTCAAACTTGGCTTCAGAAGTGTATATATATCAACTCATTAAAAATTTTGGGTGGATGTAACTTATCCTTGGAACTTCGTTTCAACTTTCTCTCTTTACCAAGATCTATCTGTGTACCCTTAATGTGTGTGAGAGAGAGGGGGAGATGGGGGAGGAGAAAGATATAGTTTTACTTTCGTCCCATTGAATGTCAAATAGATCAAAACTCAAGAATGAGAATCTATTAACAGGTCAACATTAGAGGTTCATATTGAGCTTAGACGGAAAAATTAAACTACCCGCTTTTCCATAGTAAATCAATTTCCCAATGCAAATCACTTAAAAAAGACACCCCCTCCCCACCACTTAATACTGTTGAAAGGCTTTAATTTGGCCTAGACAAAAGAGTTACCATACACAATTACAAGACACGAACGGTTGGGAAAGTTGAAACTCACTGTAGGGTAGGTACAATTCCAGAAGGATGCTTTTTAAGATCGACGGGTTGGGCTCCTTCCAAGCCTTGATCTGCCATTCCTAACAAGAAATCTCTGCAACGACGGAACTCTACATGCTTAAAATTTTGATTGAAAAAATAATCAAAATAAGACAAAATAGAGGCACTAAAACCAAGCCCAAAAACAGAACAAAATCTCTTCCAATTACAAATATACCAAGACCCCATGTCCATTGATGAACAGAAAACAGTAACCCACACATCGCAGACGAAATTTCTCAACAAAAAAAAAAATATATTTATCAAATTAACGAAGTACAAGGATCATAGAACCCCACTCGACTTTGATTGATAACAAGGGAGGGATATAAAATTAAAACCCATCCTATCTCGCTCTCTCTATCTGGGTATTTAAAAACAACCCCCAAACAAGCAAATCTAAGAAAACCCAACCCAACCCTAGAGCCAGCCGAGGAATTCCAGGACTCCCGAGCAACAACAAACAAAATCAAAAGGCAGAGGGTGGCCCAGACACACAAGATCCATCGATCGCAAACGAAATAACAAAAACCAGACCTCTTGGAAAAGGGAAACCCTAGAATTCAGCGGAGAATTCCCGTCGATCCGAGAAGGGGAAATTTGTGGGGAAAATTGGAGTGATCGGGAAGAGAAAAAAGAGGTGGGGTGGAGCGGGAAGAGTTTGAAAAGCGGGATCTTTTATATCTGGGTGGGTGTTGTTTGTGTAAGAGAGAACGAAGGAGAGAGCTTTATAAATGGAGAGAGTTTTCCGAAAGAGAAGAACGAAGGAAAGAGAGAATTATGAGTTTGTGGGATCTTTGGAGCTTATGGGAAGCGGGTCAGCGGTTTCGGGATTTATCTCTTCCGCCCTCTCTTTTATCGCCTTCCCATTTTGCCCTCCTCTCTTGTGCCCCGCTTGGGGGTGTTTCTGGAATTTCGGTCCTTTTATGCCTGCTTTTACGTGGCTGTTTGCTTGGTGCGTCACTGCCCAATGGATGAGGCCCACGTGTCCACGATTTTTTATTTTTTAAAAGGAAAGTATTTCAAATATTTGTATGCGACTGTTTCTTATTAATCTAGGATTTATATATGTTTTTATTTAGATCATCTAGGATTTGGATTGGTTCTATTTCTTTTATAGATAAAATTCAGAAAATTTGACAACAAAAGCAGATGAATGCATGGAATAAGTGAGAGAGAAAATATAATAAATAGTTGTGGATTTTTTTAACAGTGATACCGGTTCACAYGAGATTTTCGAAGAAATTATATTTCGTGGAGTTGAACTTTTATATTTGTAGTATGTGTTATATAGTAGATTCAATCTCTAATCTTTATCATCTGACTCCTTCTYTCGAACTTAATGTGAAGATTGAGATTCTTGTTCTTGTATTCAGATCGAAGTTCTCTATTTTCACGYCAAAACTCYCATCGACCGACCACAAAAAATTTACATTTCGYYCATCATTGCAACAACCTAAAACTTTAAAACAAAAATGGAGTATGATTCACTGCAAATAGAGGGACAATTGGAAACACAGAGTTTCAAAATCATCCAAACCCCTAGCCCATATCAACCGAAAAGGGTACAAAATAAATGAAATCAAACTTACCTCGAAGATTTGACTTCTAATAAACGATCGAAATATGAAATAGCAAGAAGATGAAAGGTATAAAGAGGGGAAAACACAAGAGGTCTCTGTTTTGTTTCAAATCTAAAAACATAAGGAAGAAAGAGGGGAAAAAGAAGACGAAAACTAAAGGTCTTTGGTGGGTTTTTTGTTTTCGCCAACGCTTACCTATCGAGGGACATAATAGTCATTTCATCTACCTTGATAGTTCAAAAATGCATTTATCGGGGTAGGAAAATTTTGAGTAAAATACATTTTTAGTCTCTGAGTTTTTAAATAGTGACAGTTTGATCCCAACTTTTAGAAAATAGTTATACTTCTACATGGTCTATAAGCATAATTGACCGTCAGTTGAATAATAGAAAAGTGACRTGAYATTGTTAAGTAGGCAATTTTTAAATGATGTGTCAAGATTTATTATTTGTGTAAGTATMTGTATGTTTGTGTRGATCTTTTTTCCTCTTGATCTCCTCTCTCCTATCTTGTCCCTCTTTCTTCWTCAATTCTCTTTGGATAAGTGTCSAACCACCTACGRAAGTTCTTGTTGGTTTTAGTTTCATGAATTTAGACAAATTCTCCATGTAAGTTGGCTTAAAAATCAAAGATAAATCTAGTGGATTTAGAAGCTCTGTAGTTCTATCACTACAATTTGATGGGCTCAAAGTAAAGAWGTTAGAAAATTGAAGACGTGTAAGAGGAAAGGTTGCAGGAAGCAACTAAGATGAAGCCTGTAGGATTGAATGATAWCACTAAAAGGGGTGAATAGAGTTGCTTAGCACTTTTTCAAAATTAAGARTAAATTCAATGTAATAAACAATTATGCAATCAATAAAAGAAGATTAACAAGAAAAAGAAACATTGAACAAAATATTTAAGTAAACCTATATGCAATCTAGCAAAATTCAAAGCTAAATACCGGATTTAAAAGAGAGAAGATAAGAGAGTGGTGACACCGAGAATTAGTGGTTCAGAAATTCCTACTCCACTCCCYAGAACTCCTTCTGGATATTTTACTGCAAGTCCCAACAAGTGCAAATCATTATAAATAGGGTGAAAAACAACAACAAATTTCCTTTGCCCTCAGAGGTGGACCAAAATCCAAAACCAAGTCGAAGTGTCATGTAAGACAAAACATGTACTAATGGTATGTCATGATTTGTGACAGTGAGTACGAATCAAGATCGCCTTTTCTGTCCGATCCTATCGCGACTTTTTTATGATATGTACGTACAACAAAASCAACGACCTTCAGATTCTTATTGTTGTTCGATCCCGTTCGAGTAATCCCTCTAACTCGCTCATCCTGAGCGATTTGATGAAATGCGCGATTCAAGGATGGAAGAAGATCTTGTGACAAAAGAGTAGTCCTCAATTGACCATAATATTCAAAACACAAACTGAGTAAAAATTGATGAAATCTATTGTCAGAACGTCATTTTTCATGTAGTTTTCCAACATGACAAGTGCACTTTCCACACTTGCAAGAGATCAAATGCTCAAATTTATCTAATTCATCTGACAAGACATTTAGTTTACTAAAATAAACATCGACAAACATATTTTTATTTTGTTCACAATGATTAATATCTCCATTAAGTTGAGAAATACGGGGCCCATTGACAATCGAGAATCTTTCATTCAAATCATATCAGGTATCATCATAATCTGATAGCATACAACGTACCTTGAGATCGATTGTATTTGTAAGCCATGAGACAAGCATGTAATGAACTATGGCCTAATCATCATTTGTCTAAGGCAGRACAACCTTAGTAATAGTCCTGTTAAGAAAACCAAACTTTCGTCAAGACGAAACTCTAATGGCAAGTGACTGTTCGTCAAGATTATTGAGATTCGATGAACAGGAATAAAGAAATCACCAAGACGACTTTGTGGCCCTAGGTAAAATGGATAGCTTATATTAGTTTTCGTGGCCACTCCCAATGGAGTTTTTGCTAGTGGAGTTTTTTCTCCATCTGTCATGAYGAAATCGGCAAGGCGAACCAAAGTCAATACTAAACCAAACTTGATGAAGGACTGAATCGAACCGGCAAGGAAAATTGAACCTGACCAAAATCGAACTGATCCGAACGAACCGAACCTAAAAAAACGTACGCTGACCTTCAACAAAGAAAACCCTAATAGATGCTGCACCACATCATCAACATTTGCAACGGCGATTTCAAGACCTTCGAACAACTGCGGCGRGCCACGRCAAAACAAAATAGTCCGCGACTGGTAGAGGACGACGACAACCTGCAAAGCCCAAATATCGATAATTCAAAAACGAAGGGTGCGATGCTATACCAGTATAATTTGGCGACATGTATCAAATCTGTGGTGGCACGATTACGCTGTAGCAGACCTCCCCGACTACAACGCAACACCCATGACAAACAGCGGTAGTCGGATCAGTGTAGATTTGAACTTGTGGACAYGCTGCTACCCACGAGGACGACCGCGGTCGAAGCAGTGCAACGGCATATCGACGRCAATGTAACTCACGTATGTCAGTGAATCACGAACCACAAACAATGATGAAGGATGAGGACTTTGTAGGTGTTGCTAGAAATTAGGATAATTKGAACCAAAATCGTACTAAACTATAATAAAATAGGCAACCACGATTAAAGGCTGCTGCTAGAAATTAGGTTCACAAATAAATCACTTGTCATATAAAAGAACCTAAGATTCTGATRGGATGAATAAACCACCACTCAATTCAAAAACTTAAGTCGATGGATTTGGTAAATTTAATTCATATATTTGAATTCTCAGCMCCTTGCATGATTTTGTCTAAAATCAATATCCTTAACACATGTTCCTTCTARATTAAGTTAATAAAGAAATTGAGGAAGTAATTAGAATTTTGAAAGTGGAGACAAGGAGTTGTAGAGGCTAAAGGGCAATAATGAAGGTTGGAGATGAAAAGACACTGGTGGAATAGTGGGGTRAATACTAAGGTTTAGACTTTATCACAACTTAACACCATCTTATAGCTCGAAATAAAGACACTCTGCTTTCATAGCAGAGTGAATATACACGRACTATAAGCTTTTCTCATACCCCAACGAACCCACCCACRAAGGAAAACAATAGGAATTCAAATTCCCAAATTTCGAATCGRCCCGKAGAGTTTCAAAATCAGAAGTTGGAGAAGGGATTTGTTGGTCACAATTGTGGAATACTGCAGTAAATTCTCCTCTTGGAACTCCTCGAATTAGTCATCCTCTGCAAAATCACCACATGGCTCGAAGAAGAACCAATTATTGTGTTCGGCTTTAGGTTCTGGTTTGGGCTTGGTTTGGCCAGAAGGGCAACAAGGAAGAGTTGGTTGTAGCCAAAGTGGCTGCTGTGTAAATGTTGCATCCTCGAAACTGTGATAAAACAAGTGCAAGTATACACTATATTCGTCGATTGTAATACGAACGAGGTTGGATCCATAGGGACTAAGTGTAATATTTAAAATTGATGCTCAATACCACAAATACAAGAAAATAAAATAAAGTTGTTTTATATTAAAAACCGCAACGAAAACACTATAAACAAAAGTAGTAAACAATTCCAAAAGTGAGCACAACCTACAGATGTTGGGGCAAGAAAAGGTTCTAGCACAACGAATAAAGAAGGGGGATAACAGATATGGGAAAGACGAGGGAGACTTCTTATGGTCTCACTAAATCTCAACCTCAACCCTAGCTTAAAATCAATTGTTATTGCTCAACTCGACACGGTTCCCTTCCGAGATACCAAAACATGACTACCCACAACTCTTGTTGCTAGATACCCAAGCAATAAAAACGAGTTCTAAGCATAGAGTAGGGACCTCATTCCCGAGTTTCCACAAATGCACAAAAAAGTAGTAGCTAAAACAAAAATAGAGCAGTTAAACTAACATACGTCCTTCCAGATCATATAGAAGCTAGCAAACTAAACAAACACAGTGTTTAGTAAGATGAAAGAAAATCAAAACAACACTATTTAATAGCAAAACAAAATCAGTTAGAATATCAATTGTTTASAAGTTACAACACATAAATCTCCCCCAAAATCGGGTTTAGTTCATGGGTAAGGGGGAAAACGAAATGGGTAGACAGAAGATACAACACATTTTAAAGAATAAGACAAAAACRTAGAAGAAGAGACACCAGCACGTGATGACCAGCAGCAGCTTCTCTCTGTCGTCAGCTCTCCTTCCGAAAATGGTGTACTTCTACTCCTTGTCTTTTTAAGTACGCCAAGAATGTTTTCTATTGGGATATGTGTTTGTCGRCTAGGTCATGTTGTCCCTTTTTATATTGGGCCCGAATTTTAGGGCAACCAACTGAAAAACTACGGGCATGGTAAAAATCCGCGTGCGGGACAATTACTGYACTGTGAACTCATGCTCCAGCATTTGATTGCTCAAACGTCTCAGAGTTCCGACTTAAGAATGCTTCATCAATTGCTTTCTGGGCTCTGTGCTTTTCTCATGCCTTAGTCATCAACTTTCAATTCTACGCAAAATAGCCTATAATAAAATAAATCAGCTAGAACTTAAGTCAATAATCCAATACAAGGGAACTATGYTCATTTTAAAGATTATATTTCTATTTATGGTTTTTAAAGAGTTAGAATAGACACACAAAAACAATAATTAACACAAAACTTTCCAAATAATAGCTATAATAACTCTCTTTTGTAGAGTTATCARTAAGCCAACGAGAATGTTGAGAAAGACGTTTTATTGTAGGTGATGAGCTCTGTTTGGTTTAGAGAGTTCAAATTGTTAATCAAAATTTTTGGCTCACAATTTCCATGATGGCACCTTTTGGAAGAGAATAATAATATAAAAATAATAAATCTTGACATATCATCTAACAACGTAGTTCAAACGTTAATYGACATGYAATATCTAATTGAGAACTAAAAATGTATTTTACCAAAAATAAATTAAAAAAAATGTGGGTCATTTCAGCGAAGTAAAAATTTTTGTTTGGTTATTATATTAAGTGTTTYAAATTTTGAGCGACATGTCGATCCGTGTCGAGCACCTCGACATCAACATGGAGAGAGAATGTCGTTTTTCCCCTAATGTCGAGGAAATGTCGTTTTTTTTACCTATAATCTATAAATTGTTTTTTTTATAAATAATTCGAAAAGATATGCTAACTAGTGGTGTCGATCGATATTTTGGTTAAATAATTTGAAAATATGTGTATAGTTTGTTTTGGTGAGGTAACGTATGAATTGATTYTTTTYCYWAAWWAWTTKRAAWYCMMCYTTWRRAARKTTKKTTTYMWYCCYTTTATCTCTTATAACTTCATAGCAAATAAATAAATCTAGGAAAGAAAATCAAATATTTTATAAARCAAATTAAAGAGGTTTGTCCATTCAAATTTKACTCAAGATTATATGTTTATTTAATTAAAAGAAAAGATTATCTTTGGTATTAGTAAAATTATATCCTCTCTATTTGTATATAATAAATTTTATTTTTCAATTTTTATTTCTATTTAATTATGTAATTAAATATTAGATTTKATTAGAAATTATTGATAAAACATAATTAATCAACAATAACTTTAATTTACTAATTCAAATAATTTACATGCAATTATATACATGATTTTATTATGACGTTATCATTACAACGACATTTTTATAGGTGTAATATTGATATATTTARRTATGATAGTCAAAATTGAATAATTATGAACTAATTAAACTACAATTAAAGTTTTATTTGYATCAATATCTACCATTCTTATAATTTTTGTCTSAAACCGACATCGTCAGACGACATGTCTATCAATAAAATCGGGACATCGMCGTTTCCACGACATTTTGAACCTTCCTTATATGTTATATCTATAAAATCTTAACCTTTTAATTCATCATAGAAAAAATCGAACAATTAACGGCGGCGTAGGCAGAGGCGAGAGTCGAAGAAGGGCAAACACCGTTCGCCGGAGTCGGAGAAGAAATGGGCGCAGGAGAGGAGCAGCAACCGGAGCCATCGCTCGAGAATGTAAGCGCAGCATCCTCTATATCGTCAATAGCGGAGGATCTGCAGCGCACGGTAGTTCAATCGAAGGATTCTGCCATTCGCTCTGCTCGTTCTCTCCAAGAGGCCTCTTCCTCCCATATCCGTTCATTCCAGGTTGCGCTACTAGTCAACTTTCCTAATCCGATACCCTTCTGCATATTGCCATTTACTCTCGTTCTACTTCTACTCTCATATGATATCTGTAGAGTTTATATTCCGTATGACTTCAGTTGCTGGATCGACATCAATTCTACCGCAACAAATTATATAATGTTTACAGATGCTATTTACGAAATGGGGTTTACGGTGTGTTTGGGAGTGACGGTAGAAGTAGTGACGGTAGAAGTAGTGATTTTGAAAAAAGAGATTTAAGGTGTGTTGAGTTGGTCATGCAAAAATCGTCAAAATCACTCCCCTCTCCATCTCCATCTATCATGTTTACAAATTAAAAAGGTTAATTTTAAGAAAACTTAAAATCACTTTTAAGGTATCACTTTGACAGTGATCTTGAAGAATCAATTATATTTCAATCCTTTTTTTTTTTTAAATTACTCATTCAACCATCACTCAAACACACTTTAGCATCTTATGAAGACAAAGAAAAACACAGGTTAATGAAGGATTAACAACATCTGATGATTCATCTATAGCGTATTAAATTAATTTTGTTGTGTTTGATATTGTATGTCCCACTAGCTGCTTGTGCAGTGTGCCTGTTGCTGTTTGTCCTACAGTTGATGGTTATGTATGGATGATCAATATTGCTTCTGCTCTTACTAATTTATTTTGTTATTAATGTCACTATTATTGAATGTGCAATTGTTAAATTTATGCCTTTCCCCCTATTTGTTATTTCCTTCTCCTCTTATAATTCTGTTTTGAGATGAATATACTCATCTTTCAGGATTTCGTACCCCGAGCAGCATCACAGTTTAAAACTCACGAAGATGCTTTTTTCAGCAAAGCGAAAGGTCTCTTTTTATGTTTCTTGTTCTCTGATTATCTGCGTGCTTTAGAACTTCAGCAAAATCAATATTGGCTTGATGGGAATATTGCCTTAGTCCTTCTTGTTGAAATTAATTAGGAAGTGAGTTAGAACCATTTCCTGTGTAATTTAGTTTTCTTTGCTATATGGTCAATTTCAGAATCAACAATTTTCTGAATTTCTCGATGGAGATATATGGATTAAGTTGATTGAATATATTATATATATATCTTTTTTGTACTAAATCTATGTTCACTAATTTAACAACATCCCCATATCTACTGGATAAGGRTTTGCCTAATATTTGGTTTGGATAAGTTTTAAGCTTCTTCATGGCATTCTTTATCTGATTCTCTTTTGTAATTATTCTATCTTTGGGATAAACTGGAATAGGATAACTCTTGTTTTCCCAATATAGTTGGTGTTGGTGGATTATTTTGTAAACTCTTCACTAAATCAATAAAATTGTCTAAAATTGCCCAAGGTAATTTGGAGGCAAGGATGTCCCGAGAAGACACAATTTTCATTTGGATTCTATGTCACAAGCACGTGAACTCAGTTGATCAAATCTAGAGTGTATGTATATATACACTAAAAAGAAAAAGAGTAGATCTCCATGTATTATGACCTTGAGGGCAAGTTGTTGTGTGCATGTATAGGGATCGAATGGATCAAAATCATCTATATTATTATTCTTTCAGTGTCGTCACAGTCGGCATTTTTATTTTTGGATTTTGTAAAAAGAAAGAGAGAGGGAAAGAAACTACCTTGTTGTGAAAAATCTTGATTTATTTTTGTAATTGTATTTGTTTATGGTATGGTATCACTGTGTAGATGAGTTCAAGATTGCAAGGGACCACCCAGCTGCTACGATTGGGGTTGCTCTTGCAGCTGGCCTTCTCATTATGCGAGGTATGGAGTAAATATTTGCCTCAATATGGAAGCTGGTGATTAGTTGTATTTTTATTTTAGGTACTAATTTTCAATTATCTCACTTGCAATCCTGCCTACCTTTTTTTTTTTTGGTATGAAACAAATATTTCATTGATGGTATGAAATATACAAAAGGCCACATGAGCAATTACAAGAAAGTTTTCCAACTTATAATAAGTTTATTTAGATAATAGCTATTGAAGGGGGTAGAAACATTTACACCAACCAAGAGCTAGAGTAGTAACCCCATCAAAAAAGATATCAAAAGGGATGGCTTTGTCATTAAAGACCCTATTGTTCCTTTCTAACTATAAACTCCAAAGGAAGGCCCGAACAAACTGGACCCATAAGATCATTTTCCTTACTAATTGGTCAAGTTGTAGTAGTTAGTATGGGAGATTTTGTTTACTCCTAAAGGGGAAGCAACTGTTAGTGGTCAAGTTGTTAGTATGGGAGATTTCGTATACTTCTTACTAATTGGTCAAGTTGTAGTAGTTAGTATTTGGCCTTGACCCTATTAGTGTTTTGGGATTTCTATTTTCTCAGGAGATTGGTCCAGCATCTTCCACATTGATATCTTATTTATCTATGTAGAAAATGCTTTTGTCTCATATTATCTTTGTCGTGCGAGTCACTTGTGCAATTAGGTCCATCATACCTATCAAGTTATGATGCAGAAAATAGAGCCTATTATTATATTCAGCATCAATTTGACAAATAAGTTTAGACGAGTTTATTGAAATGAATTCATTTAAAATGATTTTAGATTGAATTTGTTCGTTCATCAAACTTGTCTGCATAATCAGAAAAGAATTAGGTAATATAGGCTTGAACAGGGAAAGAGAGTGATAGAGAAATGAACCGTGTGAAATCAGTCTAGTAGTCAAGCTTGCGGTGACCCATATGGTTTGGGATTCAACTTCTCAAGGCTCTTGTGTGGCAATGTTGTCAAGATTTCCCTATTGAGTATTGTCAAAAGGACATGTGAGTCATTCAGGATGGTGCACTGCTGGTTGTTATTATAGTTTAGTAAGAAGCTCGTGGCTCCTCATTGCTAATTGTTAAATGCAGAAATATTTTTCTCCACTAAAGTCAAGTTTATTCCTGGCCTCTTGGGGAATGGTAGATCTATTCTCTTCAGGGAGGCTGCATGAGATACTGCTACGAATGGGTTTTCCCCCATCCCTAATCTTTACATGTCTCTTAGTACAAAAACCACCGAATGTTGGAATATTTTGAGAATTCTTGGATCTCRATTTTGGAAAGAATTGAATGATAGTCTCCAATGGGTCCTCATCCATCTGTGAAGGTTGCTTCCCCTTATATTTGAGAAGTCAGATATTGGCAAAGTCAGGGTTGTTCACTTAGAAATGCCTCTCTCTTAGAGAGCACCAGAACCAAACTATTGAGAGGAATATTTTAGGGCCTCAGTGTGATGTTTTACTTGTCCAAACTTCTTCTATCTCTGCTATTATTGTAAATCGAAGAGCCTTCATAAAAGTCCCTTGGTTTAGCTTGATAGCCAGCCTTTTGGTCCTTCCTTCTATTCTTTTCATTGTATCAATGAATTTTGTATGTACAAAAGAAAATTTTCAGCAAACTAGTGAAGAGTTACAAAGTTCAGAACTTCCTTTAGGAGTATACAAAATCTCCCACACGATCAATAAAACTGAGAATTATAAGAACAATTCTTCTTGGGAAAATACAAGAAAGCACCCCATTCAAGAAAAGAAACATACATATCGATCTTCTACTGCACAAAAAATTCAAAGAAACCTCCCGAAGATCTACATTCTTTTTTTGGAATGGGAGCAACAATCCATTGGGCAATCTGATTTTTAGCAAGCTATAAAGGATGACAATATGTTTCATGAAAAAAACCTCAACCACATCAATGAATTTTGTTTCTAATTCAAGAGGAATAAAATACCAGCACAAGGGAAAAAAAGGTAAAGAAAGTCTAATCAAGGTTTTTTTTTTGTTGCATATGCAGTATTATTCCACCTTAGTAAAAACTTTCCTAGATATTATAGTTATTTGCTTGCCTGGAATTGCATTTATTATCTTTGTGTTCARTCCTTTTCCTTCTTTATTTGTTTTTCTCATTTTCTCTGTTTATGTAAAGGTAGACTTATTTTTAAGAATTGCTCTTCTCTGCAGGACCAAGAAGATTTCTGTTCCGTCATACGTTGGGTCGATTTCAGACCGAGGAGGTTGTTTCCTTTTTTATTTTCTTAATTTTTCCATCTATGGATTATGAGTAAATTGTTGATGAATGAATTCTCATTTTATATACGCCAATTGAGCTGGAAATTGGAAACACTCTGAGTTTTGACAGTACTCTGGATTAACTCATTGTTCTCCTTTGCCCTGCGCTATATTTCTCTAGTTGATCATTATTAATCCTTCTATCATTGTTTTACCCCCTTGAGCAGGCAAATTTTTTGAAGGCAGAGAAGCATGTAAAAGAGTTGAACCTTTCAGTGGACCTGATGAAGAAGGAGAGCAAAAAACTGCTCGAGAGGGCTGCTTTAGCTGAAAAGGATATGAAATACGGCCACAACGAGCTGATGTAGAAGCATTTTAGTAATTTTAATGTATAAAAGTCTAGTACTACTAGATTCTCTAAAATCTGACTATTTATCAAATATACAGGAATGCCGGAAATCAAATTCAACATCTTTCAAGGTCAATTTACAAGGCTGAAGCCCAAGCTGCAGGTGTGTTTTTTGATGCACGAAACTCAATAGTTCTCTTAGTTTCTACTTTATAATGCTGCTCTAGAGACTTCATTGGGACCTTCACATTTTCTCTCTTTGCTATAGTTCAATCTCTTGTTCTGGTTAACTTACTAGTTCAACTGTCTTAAAGTAATTAGACACAACATAACTGTGAATTGGATATTGAGATACTTCTTAACCATTATAAATATCCTTTGACGTATTTATGCATAAGGGACAATGTTATGGAAGTAAGGATCTTTTGAGACAATGCAAGAGTTTGGATGAAAAGAAGATTCTTGGACTAGAACTCATAATGTTGCATCTTATTAATATTTCACTGGTATTGATTTAGTTTGTAAATTCTTTAATACTGTATAACAACATTCACTACTAATATTTTCATATGGACAAAATTTTTTATTTAGATTGCATTCTGYTTCCTCTATGGCATCTGTGATCTGCCGATATAATGATGGGGATGTGATGAGTGATTGGTTGAGAGTACCGAGTGCATACTACATAGTGAACGAAACATCACAATTACAAATAATTGTTGTGAAGTCCTTATATTTTTCAAATTCACAGATTTGATGGATGGGCTGCGAGAAATCTCCGGTAGGGACGCGTTAAAACTTCGAGCAGAGGTCAGCTAACTCATCAGTCCCTCCTCATTGAGAGCTGAATTTTTACACCATGTAGTTCYTGATTGAATTCTGTCTCATGATTATCTCTCTTTCTGTTTCTCGCACTTGAAGGTGGCTTCAATGGCGACGTTTTTGAAGCGTCAGAGAACTTTGCTTGACAACAGGGCGATGACTGTTTCTGAATTGGGGATCCCTCTGTGATCAACAACTGGAGATCGAGGTATGAATCATGTAACTTGTTTTAAGATTGCGGAAAGTTGATGACAATTTTGATCTTAAATAATTTCCAATTTGGGAGTGTTGCTTCCATCCGGACTAAGTTTATCAGTAAATAGAGTGAATGAGTGATTGAAAACCTCTTGGAATCTTTCACTTGGAAAATTTTTTAACATTGACATTTCGTATATCTGTGTATGATCTTGTACTGGGTTGTTTTGGCTGAATATGATTTGGTCATTTTAGCAAATACCCTTTGTTGTGGGTGTTAAAAGATTGGCTAAAATACATCTTTTGTACCTATAATTTCAATTATAGAAGGAACGATTTAGTCCATTTCAGTTTGTAAGTATACATATTATTATTTTTTATTACTAACAATTTGTAATGATTTAGTCATAGTAATTTCAAATAAAGAACAATTTAGTAAATGTAGTTTAAGATTTATAACGATTTTTAATCTATTGKGAATTTTTTTTTGTTAAAATTTAATGAAAGTTTACGTGGGATCAAATGTGTTTATAAATTACAAAGACGAATTATTATACGATAAAAATTGACGTTTAATTTTGATGATATTTTTTACAGTAGAATTATAAATTATAAATTTTAAATCATAAAGCATAAGCTCTTGTACCAAATCCAATGTATAAAGAAGTCTAGGTCGATGTTAAATCTACACCCGTAGAGTATCAAAAACCTTCCAAATCATCAATTGAATAGTACATAAAAGGAAGGGTTTTTTGGGGTTTTGTGGTAGGGTTTTTGTATGATTTAGATAAGTAAGACGAGAGCTTCATGTATGATTTAGATAAGTAAGACGTTTGGTTTGTCACACAGTTCTTTAGAGGACGAAATAGAAGCTTGTGGCGTATCTTCTCACCATAAAACATAAATTGACAGAAAAAAGTACGTGGCTTGATTCAAYTGCAAGTCTGGGTCTTATCGAYGAAAAGTTGTTATACTCCTTTGGAAAAAAAAGACCCAAGCTACCTTCTTAGAGGCACGATAAATTGCACCTAAAAATATGAGTTTAGGAGAACTACTCCACTCGGTGGGATTATGACGGGAAGCGCGATCAAACTGAGCATAGCTAAAAGGAGAGTGGGAAAAAATGACAGTATGCGGGGCCAATTGGATCAGCGGGACCTTCTAAAAAAGTTTGAAAGATATGCTCTAACGACGATTCTACTCGAGATTTATTGATGGAGATCATGACAATTCAAGAAGCTACTCAAATGCCCGAAAAGATTAAGACACCATCTCATAAAAGAAGTAAAGGAACATATTGTCTCTTCCCTCGAGATSATGACCATTCAGCATGATCTTAATGAGGAAGTTCAAGATCTCATTCGAAGGACGAATTGTYAGGGAGGCTAGTGCTGACCCAGGACAAGGAAGACACAAAAAATCAAGTTATCAAAAGGTGAGGTAACCAACCTGCACCACTTGCATAATGCATAATGACACATTGGTCACTTTAGCCATGTTAAAGTTCATCGAATCTTGGTGGATGGAGGCAGTTTGACAGAAATATTGTATCTAAGAACATACGAAGCTTTGTGATTGGGTTCGAAACTACCTGTGACGTGCATTCCCCTTTGAAAGAAGTAAAAAAAAAAAAGAGCGATAGGGAAAATNATTGTTATATTCCATCAAGAGAAAGGAGGCAGACTGGTAAGAAGGCCGGGGGAGCGAACCGAAAAGCTCAGCTTTGCGGAACGGACCAATCTTCCGTACCGCCCCCTTACTCTCTCTCTATAAAAAAAGCCTGCGGGAAGCGCGAAGAGCTAAGCCACTAATGTCGTGGCGAAGGTTATACCTCAGAAAGTCAGCGAAGCTAAGGTTTCGTATGTGTTTGTTATATCCTTTCGATCGAGCGACAACTTCTAAGGAAGGCCTGCATTCCCCTTTGAAAGAAGTAAAAAAAAAAAAGAGCGATAGGGAAAATGGAGAGAGAGAAGGTTGCAGAAGTGCTTCTAGATCTCATGGAATAAGGCAGAATTTGGAACTAAACTTTCCTGCTTTCATAGAAAAAAAGAATTGTGGAGATGAAATCCTGATTACATTACCGCAGGCCAAAATTGGATTTAGAAGAGCAAGCCAGAGAAAAGAAGCGTTGAGATAATCTAAATTGACCCTACCAAAGTTTAGGGCTAAATTATTACTAAATTGTTACTTCAATCAAAACACATCAACTCAAATGGTACCGTAGAAAAGGGATTTGCAGTCTTTCAGCTTAGTATCTTACAACACACAATATCTAAAAACTAATAATAAATAAAAAAGTGGATTTTCATTAACAAGAGAAGATAAATAGAAAATTGTTATCTCCCATTATATTTGGACACTGAATACTGATGCGGCTTGGTCAGAGACTCATGCAGGGGGACTTGGATGGATCTGGGAAGGTGTCAATCATATAATGAAGATGTTGGATGCTTTGGCTATTCTGGAAAGAATGTGGAACCTGCTTGTGGCGTGATCCCTTTTAATAAAATAAATAGGGATGCTAATCTTTTCACCCACTATCTTGCTCCCAATACTTTCGAATTAGAGTTAATAGTATGTTGAATTACCTGTATCCCTGCCCTTGTGGCAAATCAAGACTTTATTTCTTCTTAATTAAATTCTCTCTTCTTTTCTATAAAAAAAGGGAAGAAAACGCATATGGACAAAATCACCAAGACTATAAAAAAAAAATACTCAACATTTTTCAAATAGAATTTCCGACCAAATTGTGTCTTATTAATGAGCTATACTTGTTACTAAAGAAATAAACCTAATAAACGCATCAACGTACATTATAACAAGTCTTTTGACTAAATAATCAAGTCATAGAGTATAGAGATATATATGTGGATTCCATAAATGATTTTGAGCATGACATTGATGGACAACTAATTGACCGATAACAAGAAAGAAATGGGAATACAGATGATAGTGTGGTATGAGTTGAAAATCATCTAACAATTAGGATCAAATTCAACACACCCAGCCAAGGGCTCAAAGAATCCATATTTTCAACAAACTTGTTCTTTAAACAAATTTGTCCATTAATAACAATCACATTGGTACGAATATTGGTCCTAAAGGTCTATCAATTCGGTCGACATTTAAGCCACATCTCATACGTGCAAATTTCTCGTTAAGTCTCAATTTCAAATAAATATCACAGAAAATATTAATAAAAGATGTTGATTTTTTCCTTGTACATATAAATTAAAACATAATATGGAGTAAAAAAAAGATTCTTGAAAGCTTAAAATCACTTAAAATTAATTTAAAAAAAAAAAAGAGATTTTCAAAATATAATGTGTATATTCATAACTTAGATTTATTTTAATTCCTATATTTAAAATTTTCGATCTTTATTCCTGCACTTCTAAAAAGTGATTATTTGAGTCTCAAATTACAAATTTTATAACACAAACTCTAAACAAATATCTCTTAGAATAAATAATGATTGCATTAAAAAATATAATACAACATCATGTTGAATGTCTCAATACAGTAAGGGAAACTTAATCACTAATTTCTTAATGCTTATTTTATTTTAAATTAATAACTTCCAAATTATTATTATTTTTAATCAAGAAAATTAATTGTTTTTTAATGAATTGCCAACTGGACCGTCGTTTTAAGCCCCAAAAACATATGTATTTTATAAAACATCACAATTACTGTTTAAAATTCAAAAGAGACCCTTTCAGTGATTGAGATTTTGATCAATAAACTAGGATTGAAAGTGAAAGATTTTTATGTAAAAGTTGTGAAAACATTCAAAATATTTAATATAGAAAATAAATAAGATTAGACAATTGTAATTTGAATAAAACAAAACTAAAAACAGCCATAAAGATTAAACTAACCTGGTGAAATGTTTATCACAGTTGTAACTCAATCCAATTCAATGAAATTTTTATTATTATTAGAAGCAGAAAAGCAGTTAAAATTGCAAGTTGAATCTTTCCAATCAAATTATCATAATAAAAAGAGTGGCCTCAGAGATCTTGGTGGTTCGTGATCATCAAATGGGAAAATCCCATCAAGAGTAGCAAATATTTGTAATTACATCACCGGCCTCATCAGTTGAAGAAAAACAAAACAGCGAAAAGAAAAAAAATTGGCTGTTCTTCAAAAGGAAAGGAAAGTCAGAAGAAACAGAATCTAGATGGTTGTTTAGATGTGATCAGAAGTAGCTGGTTGTGATATCATGGATACTCATTGGGAATCCGTCTGATTTTTTTCATCCTTTCACATCAAACTCACCAGAATCCACAAAATAACTTAACACGGAAGAGAAAAAAGACATCAAGATTCAAAACAGAAATCAAAAGGAAAAAAACACGGAAATTAGAACGAAGAAACCAGAGGGAAAAAGAGAATGTATCTACCTTGTCACCGAAACATCCTATCGAGGAGATCCGGAGCTAAAGGGAGAAATACGCACATTAATTTGTGCATACCGGTCTTCCGTATAGCCTAACGATAGATTCTTTGATCGATTCCAATCCTCCTGAAGAAGAATTTTTCCGATCAGAGAATTGCAATATTAGGCTTATTCTCCGTTCCTAATCAACAACACGAAATCAAACAAAAATGTAGAAGAACAACAAAGAGAGAGCTCCAGAGTCCGGCGAATTTCGCTTGGAGAGAAGTCGCCAGGTGCAGGTTTTATAGAGCGATGCGAAGAAACCCTAACCCTAAAAATCTTAAACAAGAGACGAAGCGCGGCTGTAGTTCACTAGAACTTTCGGACCACGCCAGGCCCATTAAGAAATAACAAATTGTTTAAAAAAAAAAAAAGGAAAAAGCTAGGGATCTGGTCCACGTTTTTTTCCCCCAAATTTACTGACTGAATCAAATGGATTTAGGAAATATTTATTTTTGAATTGTGTGACGTAGAAATTTTGAAATATATATTTTTTATTTTTTCATTGTTTTCAAATTTTGAATTTTTAAATTAAAAATTGAAAATTATATTAAAAAGATAAAAATTTTGACAAGTATAATATTTTATGTTATAAGTTTATTTCTTTTTTTTGGTTAAAATTAGAATAATTATATAATATTGTAAAATAATAATTATATTAAATTTATAACATATATGTTAATTAATTAATTAATAATATTTTATATTAAATTAAATATTTAATTGGTAAGTACACTACTATACAAATATATTACTAAACAAACATTAGACAATTTTTAAATTGAAATTCAATTTTCAAATATGTTACTTTTGAAAATATTAAATACAATTATGGTTTTTGTTAAATATATTGTTTTTAGATTTATGTTTTAAAATCACCAACTAAATAAATGGGTGGAAATTAGTATGATAACCTATTTAAGAGTGGCCTAATAATATATTGACCAACTTTTATGCTGGTATGCTTTTGAGGTCACTTTCAAAGGTGAAGGATTCGATTGAAAACCCACTCGAGTTCATCATATTGAAAAGTGGCATTGCTTCGCACCAAAAGGATTGGATCAATTGAAAACCTAGGGTTAGAAGGAGAATGAGAGAAGAAGGAAGAGATGAAAGGTTAAAAAAAAAAAAAACTGAATTAAAGTCTGATCAATTTTGATTCGAACTTGAAAATGGCTTAAATTGGTTAAAGACATATGTCCTATAAATTTGAATTCCTACCCCATGTTGTATTATTCAATTTAATGAATCTCTTCTTTTGAATTAAGCATCACAAACTACTTATGTCTATATTTTCATTATTCAATTATACGTTCTAAAACCAACAGTGAATAAACCAGGTAAATTATTCACACTTTTTTATAACCCACCTCATAAGATATCTGAAATTATAAATAAATAAATAAGATAGAAGAATAAAATCTGCACAAGATGTGAGGGTGTTATTAGTAATTTTTTCACATGTTATTTTAAAAAATGAGAGGTTTAAACATATTCAAATATAACTCAATTGATTAAGACAAATATCATTCACTACAAGGGAGTAACAAGCTAAAATGTTGTTGAACAAAAAAAATCAAGTTTTAAAAAGAAACCTAAGCTAAAAAAATTATTCTATTGGCATATTAACCAAGAGTCTATAGGGTAAGAAGCATGTGACTAAAATAAATATATCACAAACTCAGCTAAGGATATTCAAGGATCACACAGACCCTTCTCTTTTAGGGTGAAACAAAAAACTGCAGCCATGGGTTCTCTGACTTCCATGAAGCTTCTGCAAGGGAAAAGGAAATTGAAACAAAAACACAAAAACAAGAAAAATGTAAGTTCTTTCCACTGAAGATCTCTCCTTGTTGGAATTGAGAGCAGCAAGTTTAAACCTCAAATGAAACCAGTAACCTCGTGAAGGCTCTATGCCCAGTATTGTGATACATCCTCGAGCCCGCTTCTTTACTTGATCTTATTCAAAGAGATGTGACTTGAAACATATAGCAGATTTAGAAAAAACATAACTTAAAAGTGAAGGTAACAAGTTCCAGACATCACTTGATCAAATGGTGTCTCTCAATTGTCTTGAAAACACGCTTATAAGATGTGTTTCCAAACATCATGTTAAGCACCCACATCCAACTTCCACGCTAGTCCGGTAACTGAATCTAGAACTAAAACATGTACCCTAAGGTTGAAGAATTCCGTCGAAAAATAAATGGATGAATGCAGTTTCTCCATGATACATGATGATTCCTCTGCAGACTACATTTAAAATTCCAGTTCTATCATCTGGCAAGTATCTAAAAGACACGGTCCCCAGTGAATGTGATGTAGCAGACTATGGTTCCATGAATCACAAGATGGTTATATGACTAGTACAAAAAAGACCAGCAAGCAGCATGTAGGCCAGAAACTAGAGAGCTGAAAAAGAAATAATTGCTGCTTCACTTGGACAAGGCAGAATTAAGATCAAGAAGTTAAGGAAGCCCAGAAGAAATATAGCATCAAGTTTGCTCATGGCTGGGATTTAAAGGTTCCATCATCTAAATTTGTAATCCAATTGCTTGCCCTTTTCCAGCTTGGTTAGTGTGGCATGTTGAAGGTTATTTACTCTGAAGTCCCTTGTAAAAGATCTTTGGATGAACTACCCGCACTTTGTATCTATTTGGTCCTTGAAACTTTAAAAGTTGAATTGAGGTTAAAGGGCTTGTTTTGAAACATTCAAAGTTTGACTTGTAAATTTTGGGAACTTTTGGACAAAAGAGATACAGAGGTACGAGATATTTAAGAATGATTAGTACCCAAGCTTATCATGATCACTCATCAAAGTCGAGAAACTTGCTCCATTCATCCTGCAGCAACCCAGCCATTTTCAACTGCACAATTGTCTTGCACAAGACATGAAAAATCTCATGCAACTGTGAATCTGACTTGTCTCCAGCAAGAAATTCATATACTTTGTTATTAATTTCAATGAAGCTTCCGCCTGGAGCCTTCTTCACACCTGCATTTCTCATCACCTTCCTCACCATCCCAGATTCATTCCACCTGCCAAGAGCAGCATATGTGTTGGATAAAAGTGTGTAATTCCCACTATTTTCAGGCTCCAGCTCTGCAAGATGCCTCAAAGCCTGCTCTGCAAGCTCAGCATCCCTATGTATATTGGAAGCAGCAAGAAGAGACCCCCATATTGCTGCATTTGCTTCAAATGGCATGTCCTTTAGTACTTTCTGTGCCTCCTGAAGATGACCAGCACGAGCCAGTAGATCAATCATGCAGCCATAGTGCTCAATTTGTGGCTTAATTTTGTACGTTGATTGCATTCGATCGAAATAATAACGACCCATATCAACCATACCAACATGGCTGCAAGCAGAGAGGATGGCTATGAAAGTAATTTCGTTTGGCCTAACTCTCGCCTTCTCCATTCGAAGGAATATGTCAATGGCTTCTCCTCCACGTCCGTGAAGAGCCAAGGCAGCAATCATGGTGGACCAAGTTATAACACTCTTTTGCTTCATGTTCTCAAAAATTTCTAGTGCTCTTCGTATGTTGCCTGATTTTGAATACATATCTATGAGGGCATTGTACAATGGAACAATCCTACACAAACCATGCTTTACAATATAATTATGAATCCACTCGCCCAGCTCGAGAGCCCCCAGATCAGCACAAGCAGAGAGCACAGCCAACATTGCAATTTCATCGGGCTCCACTTCTTGAAGCTGCATCTTCCTGAACAGTGCAATCGCTTCATCAGGCCTGTTGTTCTGTGCATACCCAGCAATCAAAGCCGTCCAAGTGATCACATTCCTTTGGGGCATCTCGTCAAACAACTTACGTGCACTGTTGAGTTTTGCAACTTTAACATACCCAGCAACCATGGAATTCCACAAAGCCACATCCCTATAAGGAACAAAATCAAACAGCTTACGAGCATCAGAAACACACCCACAAGAAGAATACATTTGAATCAAGGAAGTGACGACATTCACATCTGTATCTAAAGCAGAAAAAACCGTCTGAGTATGAATCTGCCTGCCCACTTGAAGAGTGGATATCTTAACAACAGCCTTCAAAACAAAGGGGATAGAGTAGGAATCTGGCTGCAAGCCCTCGCTTCGAATCCTGGAGAAAAGGGAAATGGCATGAATGGGAGAGGAGGTCTGAGAGAGGGCTTTAATGGTGGTATTGTAGAGACGAAGGTCGGGGTTGGTCTTGCTGGAGAAGACGGAATAGGCATATGTGTAGAGGCGGAGAGAAGAGCAGGCATCGATGAACCGACTGAGGATGAGATTGTCCTGATCGAGAGCTCTGGGCACCATGAAGCCATGGATTTGAGGAACGTGGCGAGGATCACAACAACTACTTAGAAGGGAATTGAAGGCATGAGGGGCTGTGAATATGGTGCGTTGAATGAAGAAGGGAGACGATTTGCAGAGGATGGAGAGGGACCAACGCATTTCACCTATAGCAGCACATCGCACCTGACATAATTTCTAATTTCAATAGAAGAGGCATGAAATTAATGTAAATATTTTTTTGGTGTAATTCAGTCCAATGGATTCATCATAATAAAAACAAAACTTTGGGTTAATTGGTAGGGGGAAGCATTAGCATCTAAGAACAATGAACAAGAATGGCCTCAGAGATCTTGGTGGTTAGTGATCATCAAATGGGATAATCCCATCAAGAGTAGCAAATATATGTAATTACATCAACGGCCTCATCATTTGAAAGGGAAAAAAATCCAGTGTTCTTCAAAAGGAAAAGAAAATCAGAAGAAAAAGAAAATATATGGTTACTTTGATGTGATCAGAAGTAGCTGGTTATGATATCATGGAGATTCATTGGGAATCCGTTTGATTTTTTTCATCCTTTCACATCAAAACTCCCCAGAATCCACAAGAAAACGTAAACAAGGAAGAGAAAAAGGCATCAAAAGATTGGAACACAGAAATCAGAAGGAAAGAAACACAGCATTCTTCGGAATCAACAAAATCTCCCATAGGAAATGAAAAAACGTGGAAATTAGAACGAAGAAATCAGAAGGAAAAAGAGAATGTATCTACCTTGTCACCGAGAAATATACATAATATTATCTATACTGACCTTCCGTGTAGCCTAACGATAGATTCTTTGATCGATTCCAAATTTCCAATCCTGCTGAAGAATAATTTTTTCGATCAGAGTATTGCAATATTAGGCTTCTTCTTCATTCCTAATCAACAACACAAAATAAAACAGATTCTCCAAGTCTTAGACATCTACGATTAAGAAAAAGAAATTAAAAAAAATAAGTACGAAGAGGTCGCCTGGTGCAAATTTTTTAGAGCGATGAGAAGAAACCCTAACCCTAAAAATCTGAATGACATCATCCATTAAATGAAGTAAGATTGATCACCTAAAAAAGAAAATAGTCTGCAAAAGTATAATTTGGTTTGTGTAGGAGAGGTGTTAGCATCCTACCACACTCGAAAATGGTTAATTAACAATTATGAATTACTTGAGAAATTTCATGTACTTGAAACATTACTCAATTCTCTTTTATTCCTCCTAAAACATTCAAAATACTATTTTGGTTTATGTACTAGCCATTCTGGTCTCCGTACTGGTCATTTGGTCCGTATCATTTTGGTCCTTGTATTGATCATTTTAGTCAATGTACTCATCGTTAAGTAATGTTTACATTTTAAGAAGTATATTGACTGTGGCGTCTCTGATACTAAAATGATCCCTTTTTAAAAGTCAATAACCAAAATTTTGTGTTTATGCGGCTCATGTCATAAACAGGGACCAAAATGAACCAAATCAGAGAACACTATTTGAAAATAGAATATAAAGCATATAGAATTATTTCAAAAATCCAACCTCAAATATCCACATAACTATAAACATTAAACACCCACGGTATTTAAGAATTACAAACTTAGAATACGCACAGTAATTTTAGAACATAAACAATCCAAATACCCAAAGTTCAAACATCCACAATCACTTGTTCAACAAAATAAAACAAAATAAAATAAGAATAAAGATCCACAATCACACATTTAAATCCCAGGAACATTAATTATAAACTCAAATACCCACAACCACAACATTTCAGAATCATAACGTCCACAAATCATAAACCAGCCCAAACCACATATTTAACCTAAACAGTCCAGATATCAACAAAAATTCAGAATATGAATCCAAATACCCAAAATTCCAGCAAGCTTTAACTCATAAAGTAGTAAAAAAAATCTCCTCAAATTTAATCTTATACGAACAGTTCAAATGGCCACATATTTAGAACCAACATTTCATTCAAAACGTTCACTCACCTTGCTGAAGATAATGTATATCAACTAGGTCAGCAACATCGTCAGATGGAAAGAATCGAGCCGCCGGGTGAGTTCACCGCTGGGAGTGTCCAGAATCTGCGGCGGCCGCCGGAGAAGAAGGTCCGTGCCGCCGGATCTGCTACGGTCGATTGAGGAAGAGAGGGAATGGTGATGGTGACTGATTTTCAGAGAGAGAATGAGACGAAGAAGAAGAGGAGGCTAGGGTTTTTTTTGGGGCTGTGGATTAAATCCAAAATGACTTTTTTACTAAAATGAATTTTGGCTTTAGAAATAATCCATTTTAATTTTGAAATTTGTAATCCTTGACTAAAATTTAATTTTAAATCAAAAGAAAAAAATAATTGAAGGCGTGAGGGGCTATGAATATGGTGGTGCATTGAATGAAGAAGAGAGACAATTTGCAGAGAATGGAGAGTGGACTCCATTTGTGTATCTCACTTGGTGTAAAAATGAGTTTAAATCCTCTTGTAGGTCTTGGGTATCCACTTCTCCAATTACTCTCTTGCCCGCTGACCAATCGATAGAATTCTCGAGCTACGAGTACGAGTATGAGAGCTTCATTTATTGACTGGATTGGGAGGTCTCTTGTAGGATGATGCGTAACTTTTCCAACTCAATTAGACTAGTCCGATATGTTTTTCAAGAATACTTGCAAACAAAAATCAAGACCTTGTTGTTGTGCCCGTCAAAGATTATTAGCTAATTTTCATCTGATCCACATGGGGCCTCTGTGATATTTGCACGAATGCAGATGACTCGCCACGTGCTTGGACAATGAGCTATTACCATATCCCATAGTTAAATCACAGGTGAGTTATTGCTTTACTCTGACACCACCTATTATTGTGGCAATGTGCCACATCCTCGCCTTGAAGGCGTGTGTTTTAGATCACTCAAACTGACTCACCGAATGAGTTACATTTGGTGGAGGTCGGTCATTCATCAGGTTAGTTATGTTCGACCACCATAAACATGCTAACTTGGTAAGGTGTGTTGTTAGCTTAATTCATGTTGTATGTGGCCTTGCCACACGAAGTCACCTTATGCCATATCTTACCCATAACACCATTTTTATGTAAAGTGAAACTCTCTCTATGTTGCGAGTTTATCAGTTAAAGAGACCAATGAAAGAATAACAATATTCAAATGCTGAAAAGTTAATACTCGTCTCTTGTTAGTCTTAGTTAAATTTTTACAACTATAGGTAATACATAATAAATATATATTCAAAAAAGAATAATTGTTAGTGAGGAGTCTGGTAAGTAAACCAAATGATCCAATTTCAAATAATTATTGATGTTTGATGGTGACATAAATCATAGATGGCAATAACTATTTGAAACTAAATAGTAAAAAATAGTAATTATTTGAGATATCATTGAAGTAATTTATTTGAACCAAAAAACAAAAGGTAACATACTTATTTTAGTCAATAAAAAACATACTCATTTCCACTAGCTCTCTCCAAAAGTTATATATAAGTCCTATGTCAAGGTTAAATCATCCAAAATGTTCTTATTGTTAACATATATATTTCGTGAAAAAAAAGTTATGGTACGAAATGATACGTGTCTTAGTGAGGTTTACCACGACTTAATTGAATTATGTTTTAATTTGACTTTTTTCTAATGAGATATAAGTTATTCTTCATCAACTTTGATAGGGTCGATAACAAATCATCTCCAATAATTTTTTTTGTCCCGACAAAATAAATCAATTGATTTAGATTGATATATCTAAAATACAAAATCACTATATAAATAAATATAAAAATCAAAGTATTATCACGCTAAAAAAGTCATGTAGTATAATGTAGCACACTGAGACATTAAAGTATTTTTTTAGATATTTAAAAATAGTATAAAACAAATACGTATTTTAAATATATCAATCAAGTTTTACAAAAATAATAAAATCCAATCTAAACTCAAACATACTTCAACTACAAAACACAAAAGAGTAACCTTTATGCTATATTTGAATTTTTTTTTAAATACATATAAAATTTAAGTTATATATATATATATATATATAACAATTTTAAAGATTTAGCCATATAATCTAAAACAAGTTTTCTACTATTGTTTAAAAAAAAAAGAAAAAGTTTTGTACTAATTCCACAAATCAAAAAGCAAAACACAACACTCTATAAATCATAATGATGCAAATAAAATAAAGAAAGTTTAGGATTTAAATCATAACTATATTAACTGACTTCCCTCTTTTCTTCTTCTTCAAAAAAATAATTATCTTCTGAAGAAAACAATTCCACAAATATAAATAAAACAAACTGAAAAAAAAAATTGAAAAAAAAGCAATTTATTGTGGTTCTTCTTCCTGTTCCAGGCAAGAGTTCGAGAATCCATTCATAGGATGCTGCCATTGGCCACCGCAATCAGAAAGCCCAGCCTTTGACCGAAGTTGACTTCCAAAGATTGTCAATATTACTACAGTGATACCACAGGTAAGAACTCTGAAAATCATCTTCGGAAAAAATGTTTCTTCTTCTTCATTCGCTGTCTCTTAATTCCAACAGTTAAAAGCAAAAAAAATCCCATCTAAAATCGTTGATCTAATCCATTTTTTTCACCAACCCTAATTTTGCAGAGCCCTTCTGCCCAAATCCCCAATTTTCTCTTTCTATCTCTCGTGGGTCTTACTTCTAGATCTGCCATTTTTGAATTCCCGCTTCTCTTTTTGTTATCCTGTTATTGATGAAGCGATTTGGCAGAGTTTTGCGTCGATTTCTGTTGTAATCAGGGCTTATTCGTTTCAATTTCTGTGTTCTTGTACACCCAATTGGTTTTCTAGAGAGGAGGTGTCCACTATTTAAATCCAAATTCTGGTATAAGTATTTCAAATTTTAGCTGCTTTTTGTATATCTATGTATTTGTTGTGTGTTTACACACTCGCAGAGGCAAATATCGGGGGGAGTTTCAAGTAGGAACCGAGTGAAGGTGGGAGTGGGTGATGGAGGGCAATTCTGGCGGAGGGGGAGTGGGAATTGGGGGAACGACGGCGGGTGCTGTTGCGGCGGTGGGAGGAGTAGCCGGCGGCGGCGGCGGAGGGAATGACGTGGAGCTGATGTGCAAAACGCTGCAGGTGGAGCACAAGCTGTTCTACTTCGATCTGAAGGAAAATCCCAGAGGCCGATATCTGAAGATTTCGGAGAAGACATCGGCTACAAGGTCAACCATCATCGTTCCCTTCTCTGGGATTCCATGGTTCTTAGATCTCTTCAATTACTATATCAATTCTGATGATCCGGAGGTTTTTAGCAAGGAATTGCAGCTCGACACAAAGGCATCTTTGTTTCTCTATCTCTGTTTCTCTTCTTCCTCCATACTTTTTTTGTTCTCTCTTTGTTCTTGTGGTCAACTTTTTGCTTTTTATGCACTCACCGTGCCTTTCAGGTGTTTTACTTCGACATTGGCGAAAATAGGAGGGGTCGCTTCTTGAAGGTAAATTGCTTTTTCCTGCTACCCTTTTTGTTGTTTTTGTTTCTTTTCTCGAGATTCCAACTTTCTCGAATTTCCAAATTTTTTTTCTTGAAAGTACTCTCTGTAGCATGTTTGTTTGATTCTACCAAATTAGTGTTCTGGAGATTGGGATTGGTCTTGTTGGTCTGGAATTTCACTTAAAATTTGCGACAGTGCTCAGAAAAAGCTGACAGATCCGCACATCTTTTCTCCTAACTATTCTGTTTTATACTTCAAATTTTCTTTGATTGAAGTTCTACTTCTGCCCAGTTCATTTCAATTACAAGTTCTAACTTGGTAGCTTCTGATGCCCAAGACGAATATTAACTCTTATCAGAATGGGGACAAGAGAGAGAATGGAATTAATTGAACTATGAGTTTGTAATGCTGTAACATTCCATGTTATGTGTCCTTTTTTTGGTGAAGGAAAAAGAAGTCTATCTTTATTTTTCTTGATGACTTTATAGCCTTCCGTATGACAATACTTCCAAATGTGTTTTTCCAAATATGAGCAGTTTCTCAAAATTATACCATGATTAATAGAAATTCCTGAACAGTTTGATTTGACCTTTTCTTTTCTTTCTTCTTCCTCCTTTTTTCATTCACTTGTTCATCTGCCATGGGAATTAGAAGCCAAGGCTATTTGCAAAATATTTAGGCTTTATATTGAAAGCCTAAGAAACAAATCATGGATATGTTGGCACCTGCCTGTTTAAAATATTAGCACAGACATATGAATGACATGGGATATAGAAAATGTTTTTTCTATAATTTTTATCTAAATAGTACATAATGATTAAATTAATGCTAGTGTAAAATTGATTAAATTATTTATAAGTAACATAATATTTTATATAGAAATTTATATCAAAAGTGAAACTCAAATATTTACTTACAATTATATACTTACACAACAAGTTCAAGTTCACACGGACTAACAAGAGCGTAGCTCAACTAGTTAAAGCATTATAACCTCGACCAAAAGGTGAGATGATGGAATCCCCACCTCCATGTATGAACTTAAGGGAAAAAAAAAGACACAAGTCCATGCAAACTAGAAAGTTCCATTTCAAATATTGTTTACTGAATCCTCCACACTTTATCATATGGGACAACTGAAAAAGGGTTCTTCATCCATTAATTATACTACACCTTGATTATAGCTATGTCTGATTTTTTATTTTTTATTTTTTTTTAATCATTTTGTGTTATTATTTCTTTGTACATGTTTGCTTTTCCATCTTGGTTTTGTCCATGCATATACTTCCTCTATAGCCAATTTTGTACCACTAGTTACATTATAAATGATTCATAGGGTCTTATGAAGCACGGTTCATACATAATGCCTACACCTTGATTACTTGGCCTACGGTCCTATGGACAACTTATGAGGCACATTATCAGAGAGTCTGGAGAGAACTGGGTTAGAAGGCATAATTCTTGGGAGCTTTCCAACTAATAGATTTCATAAATGGAGGATGAAACCATCATTTTAACTTGCTTTGCATTCTTAATCTGATATTAGATCTATTTTGCATTTATATTTTCTTTTATGTTGTCTTTAAATTATTTTTTGTATAGAGCATATAAGTGTTTCCTGCAAATTTTATGACGCCTCATGCACGTAACTCTTTAGTTTTTGTTTTTTTGACCATTGTTCTTGGAATGAATGATGGGACTGAAGTAATGTGACTGGACACTAAAACTAAAGATTTCCTTTGGGGAAAAAAAAAAAAAACTAAAGATGTCACTGGCACTTTTGGCTTTACTTCTCAAGTATATGTTTCCAACTCTGAGCTCAGACCTTGGAACTGGACGTGTTACTCAAGTTAGGCCAAGGTTTATAGCAAGTGTTGGAAGTGTTATCTTCTAAAACAGAAACAGATTTCTGGTGAAGAAAAATGCATGTTTTAGCTGTTCTCAGTGTTCATGTGATAGATCTTCTCCAGGATATTATAAAGAGAGAAAAGAAAATGCTGACGTAGAATGGCTCAACCTCTGCAGTAACCAGCTTTTTAAAAGTCCCATTTTTTTCCATCACCATCTTTGGCCAGCCATTACCACCTTCTCCATTATCAAAGAGTTGACTTACCGTGCAAAATAATCCCTACAGGCTGACCCATAGCCCCTTCATACCAGACAGCCCAGCAACCCCTCTTTTGATCTCTTTGGAGTTCCATCTTCATGTGTCCGATCATGCAAGTCAAATCTGCAATTCACTTGTTCCCAGTCTCTCATGTTCTGTCCCTTGTGCTTTTGCTTGTTGAATCTACAATAAGCTTCCACATGTGCTACGGGTCTCCAATGCTCCCTTGTTTCTACTTTAGGGTATAAATTTATTTAAAGTTTCTGTAAACATAGACGTGGTGTGTAGTTAATGAGTGTAAATTCACTTTCTGTATCTTGTATAATGTTTATTAATGGCTAAATACTGTCCACAAGATTTTAACTGATTCCATCTTTCTTTTAAAAATAATAGTATGGATCTGAACCGTTTGGTAGAATCCTTGACTACTTGTTGAGCCCATTTCAGCTCTGGTTTATTCTTACTTTGATCTGTTTTCCAACTTCAATTCTGTTACAAGTAAATACCAACTAGTGCTGAATGATTCAGATTCTGGGATTGGAGGGTAGATAATTTGACCCCTTCAGCTAGGCACAATTGAGTTACTGTTGCCTTCTTCTGAATTGTAAGGCTTAAGATTAAATTTTTGGAAATGTTGAATAATTCCATCCTCTCTTATTAGTTTGTTTTTGTAAACAAATATTGGTGTATAGACAGTTTATAACTTTTGTCCCTTCTTTCTTTTGGTTCCTCTAAAAAAGAAAAAGGACACATAATTTTTAAGTCTGGTTTATCGGGTTGCAAATAGAGATGCCTTTGGGGAATTTCAAAGCTTGTCAACTGGGCAGGTATCTGAAGCTTCTGTCAGTAGAAACCGCAGCACCATTATCGTTCCGGCCGGAAGCAACCGGGACGAGGGATGGACTGCATTCAGAAACATTTTGGCAGAGATCAATGAAGCATCTAGGCTTTTCATTCTGCCGAATCAGGTTTTGCTGTTCACAGCTAACTTCTCATCATTCTTTTTTAGGGCTAACTTCTCATCGTTTCTTGCTTAACACCACTTTGTGCGGTGTTTTCCCCGAAAACCAGGAAAATTCTGAACACTCGGAACGTATCGTCGGGCTTTCTGACGATGTAGGTGCTGGCTTCATATCAGGACATAGTAGTCAATCCGGGCCAAACTCTGACTTGAACGTTGACAGACAAGTAGACTTGTCAGCTCAAGATGACATGGGCAATCTGGGGGTGTCAAAAGTGATCAGAGCTGATCAGAAGAGATTCTTTTTCGATTTGGGAAGTAACAACCGAGGTCATTTCTTGAGGATATCTGAGGTAATGATCAAGAAAACTGAGTTTAATCTGTTAAAGTCAGTCTTGAACCGTTTTTTCAGTTTCTTGGTATGAACTTCATCAAACCATTATCGATTACAGGTTGCAGGGGCAGATCGTTCTTCGATCATTCTCCCATTGTCGGGGCTAAAGCAGTTCTACGAAATAGTGGGACATTTCGTGGAGATCACCAAGGACAGAATTGAAGGTATGACAGGCGTGAACGTTAGGACCGTGGATCCGCCTCAGAGATGAATTATATACGCCCCGGGGGCTCGTGGTGGGTAAAATAATTCCTTCTTTTAATGTTTGTGTAGATCGACATGCAGGCAGATGGTCGAGTAGGGTTGAAATTGTGCTGGGTGTGGTTTGATATTTTGTTTCATCTTGATTTTCTAGTTCAAAGTATGAATAATCCATCCTGCTAGATTAGCAGAGCATATGGAAATGCTTGAGAAGCTCAATTCTTCTTCTTCTTCTTCCATGAATAACAAAAAGAGAGGGGAAAGAGATGGCTTGTAATTGTCACTTTTATAATAATGTAATGGTGAGTTCAGGTGTGTTTTGTCCATTCCAGTTCCCAATCACTAATGGACTTTAACTTTCATTTCCAGCCTTCTTTTGGCTTTGTAGAACACTTCACAGCCTGTTACTGTGGCTTTTGGAGAAAGGGTTTCAACTTTAGGATTTTTCAAAAGCTGTAGAATGAAATGTGGATAACTTTTTTATCTTATTATTATTATGATTTTATGTTGAGAAGAACATTAATAGTGTGTTGGAGATTCAAAAGGGATCCTCAAGCTAGGCCGTATCTTATCATTGAAAGCCGAGGAATGAAATAGCTACATGCAAGTAGAGTCGAAGCAAGTCCACCTCGAATTTGACTCGACGACCTGCTCTCTCTCCCCCACCCGATGCAGACTATTTATATAATTTTTAGAAGTACTTGGAAATACTTATTGTTGCTGCAAACTAGTTATTTATCGTCGAAGACCGACAAACGAAACAACCATGTGCAAGCATTGTCGAAGCAAACTCACCTCGGGACTGCGTTTAGAATTTTTAAAGGGGCTTGGAAATACTTATTGCAGTGATCTGAATATATTTAGATTTATTTATTTATTATTATTATTATTTGCACATATGAAAATTCCTTTTATTTAGAGAGGAATGAACTTAAAAACACAAAGTTTGATTGTGATTTGAGGATTTTCTTTTTTAATATTCATTTCAAACTAGTGAATATTTTTATTTACTACGCCACTTGAATTCTGTCCAAGTGGTTCATTTGATGATTTTATTTCTGTAACAAAGTATGTGAAAATGTTACAGATGTTTCTTAGGAAAATTTTGAAATAAAAATAAGACATGTTTGTTAAAATATTATTTAAAATGAAAAATAAAAAGTATGAAGAGTTACCAAAGGCTTATATTTCTAAAAATTTGTAAAAAATCAAGAAACAAAGACAACATTACCAAGTTTTAAACTTTCAATTTTATGTCTAATAGATCTTGAATTCTAAAAATTGATATTAAAGATAAATTAAAAGTTAATAAATTTAATAAACAGGTAATTAAAAATTTATAAATTTATTAAATACATTTTAAAATTCATATACCTATTTGACCTTTATAATTTACCCTGTAAATCAAAACCCCTTTATTATTAGGAGGTTTAAGGAGGATTCGCGAGGAAGAAGGAAAATGGCGGAAGTTCTGGCCGGCGTGTCTCAGGCGTCTTTAATTTTCCGGCCGCGGCTCCGGGGAGCTCTCTTCAGCAACAGTTTTTCAGTTAAACGCCTGCAATTTCAATCTACCATCGGTAGCGGTAAGCAATCGTGTTCTTACGGATTCATCATCCGAACCTCTTCGTATAATTGGGCTATGTTTATCCTTTTTGAATCGTCATCTGGATTCAATCATGTTTACTCTTATTTTGTACTACGAGAGAAACACATTACGTATTTCATGTTTTCTGCAGGGATTTCATTTGATTGTAAGACGGGAGTATCTGCTATCCGTGTTACCGACTCCAAAAATGAAGATAGCGAGATTTATACAGATACCGATGGCGGCGACTCTTCCAATAAAGGGATTCATGGCGACGGGGGAGGTAGAGGTGGTGGAGGCGATAATGATGGCAATAGTGGGGAGGAAGAGGAACCTAACTCCAATAGCCAGAAGAAAGCTATGTCAATGTCGCAGAAATTAACTCTTGGATATGCTGCACTAGTAGGAGGTATTTTTCTTCTTCTTTCTTTTAGTTGCTGTTTGTTTGTAACTGCGGCATAAAGTGAAATTTGAAATGAAGATGTGAATTATTAGTTTCTATGAAATGTAATTGTATTCATGTTCAATTTTCTTTACTTGGCAGTTGGTGGCTTAATGGGCTATTTGAAGAGTGGTAGCCATAAGTCGCTATTGGCAGGGGGAGTCTCAGCCTCACTGTTACTTGCTGTTTTTAAACTGCTTCCCGGCAACCCTGTTCTTGCATCGGCCGTGGGTCTTGGTAAGAAATTCACTGTATCTTTTACTTAATTATCATATATTTTCCTTATCACGTAGCTGAACTGTTATAACTCTAGGTATTACTGATCAGATACATTGTCCTATTGTAAACTTCTAGTGGTTTAATTTTAATCGGAATTTAGGAATAATGAGTAGATACACTTCGTTTTGGGATGTTTACTTTCTTTCTAGCAAGGAAATGGCAAGCCTACCCTTCCTGCCCTTGTTTGGCATTGATTTGGTTTAATGGAAAGGAACAAACTCAAGTGTGTCCATAATTAACTTCTCTACATAGAAGTAGGTTGCTGGCTAGTTTCTGAAAGGAAATAATGACCTTAGTTATGGGAGTACTATTAGGCATCTATGATAGTACTGACGTTTTGTATTTTCTTATTGTAGTCATTCTATACAATTTTGGGATTGTTCTATACCTGGTTCCTAGCAAACTAGTAGCAGAGCATTCATTCTTGAAAAGGGATGCAGAATTTAGGATAGAATTATTGGAAACTCAAGTTACACTAGTGGATGTGATAGTGTTTTGGCATCAATATGTTTCTAAGTGGGATTGGAGCCAGGTTTAATGTAATTAAAGCTGGATATGGGAGAGCTTACAAACTACTCACCAGCCTTTTTTACAAGTATGGTTCAAACTATTCCTGAAATCTTGAGATTTTGAGTGTTACATTTGATATTGGTTGTGTTCACCTTTCTTATCTATAGTATCTTATAGCGGAAGTTTTTCATCCATTGAGGAAAATCAGTTTCTCAGCTCTTATAGTGGGAACCCTACTTCTAGTTGTGCACCTGTATGATGGTTATATGGTTTAGGGCTTGTAATGGCAACATAAGGAAGCTACAATCAGGTATACATTGTTCTAAGATGACTTCCAAACCCAAGACCAAAGGCAGCCTTGACAAGGTTCAACCAGACTTGCGGTGCTTTCATTAAGAGTCGCAATCCCACGCTCGTCACCTTTAGGACAAGGTGGTACTTGAGTGATGGGTAGTGTTTGGTATCTAGAGGGTCGTTCGTTTGTTGGCTATATGGGTAGCTGGAGTTTTCTGGAGTTTTAGTTGTGTGATTCAATGTTTGTTAGTGGTTGTGGGAAAAGGGTGGTGGGTGAAATGGGAGGTGAGGTGAATATCCAGAGTTTTGTAAAGAGCTCGGTTCAAGGGAAGGCTTCCAGATTCATTGAATCACCTGCAGTGCAGTTATCCTGCTTGCTCTGGTGTATAGCTTTTAGTCATTTGGCAGGAATTTGGACTGTTTTGAACCTGGTTCCTGGATGAAAAACTTTGTATTATGAATATGTTATACAAAACAGAGCTTACTTCATTTTAATACTTCCTCTTGCTTAGATATCATAAGTGGCTCATTGGTCCAAAAGGGCTAAGGTTAAGTAGGAGAGGATGAGTTCAAACCCCCATCTACTTTAGGAATTAGTAATCCTATGTGTTTCCGAGCACCAGCGGTTGTCCCGTGAGATTAGTCGAGGTGCGCGTAAGCTGGCTCGGACACTCAAAAAAAAAAAAAAGAATCCTCATRCTTGCAAGTAGTTTAAAATGATCATACATGAGGTCATTGTTGTCAAAAGTCCCAGAAAGCATGCACTCCTCACTTATATTATGAAAGGAAAACTTAAACAAAGAGCTGTTATTTCTCTTTTATTCAATCTTCTAACATGGAAATAAGGCTAAACCAAAGAGGAAAATGAAGTGGTAGTTAAATTCATCAACCCCATACCTTTTAGCTTGATGTTTTCGACCTCTTAATCTACAGGCCTATCTGCTTCACTTCTGGTAGTAATGGGATCTCGTTTCAAGAATTCGGGGAAGATATTTCCCGCTGGTGTTGTAGCACTTGTGTCGTTTATAATGACTGGAGGTTACATGCATGGAATTCTACGTAGCTCGCATTGAACATATGATGTTAAAAAAGTGGTGAGCCATGTCTCATGATAGTCGTAAACTGTAATCGACGGATGTGCTTGTTTTTGTACGATCTCTTTTCTTTGCTGATTGGAGCTTTCAGGTCTGTGAAAATGATTTGGTGTGCCTTCAGCTTTGTACTGCACCCTTTTCTCTTCAAGACTCTCTATATAAACTATAAAGGGTAAGTAATGTAGACCATTGAATATTCGAAACTGGCTTCTTGATTTGGCTGGTTTGGAAGCTGTTTTTTGGAACAGATTTGGAGAAAATATGTTTGGATAATTGTTTTTAGAAGATTTCTTTCAATGGATGTCCTAATTTTGGATATTGTTTTTTGTTAAAATACCATTTAGTCCCTATTCTTTTAATAAATCTTAAAAAAATAGTCCTCCACAGTTAGTTGGGGTTAATTTTCATCTCACTCCATTTTAGAAAAGATAAAAGGTAAATATTTCTCCTAAATTCATAGGGAGAAGGCCAATTTTATGAAAATCATGGACGTGTTGATAAGAGGTTGATAAATATTTAAACCAACAAATAAACAAATTTTTTAATTATTTTTAAATAAGTTTTATTATTATTATTATTATATCTATGTCAGTCTTATTCGAGTTGATAATTTTTATTTTTATTCGAGTTGATGGAAATTTAATGCCCTGCTCTTTGTAACTCAATTAATCTTGTGATTTACAGGTTACAGCTAGACACTACAATTAATCTTATGATTTACAGATTACAGCTAAACCAGTGTCTTAAAGCATTAAACCAAAATAATAAAAAGTTGAATTAAACAAAAACAAAAAAGTTTAAAAATCAAAACAAATGAGTACAATTTTTTTTTAATACAATATGAAGGTGGAGATTCGAACTCAGTTGAAGATATATGCTAATGACAACAAATAATTAAAATTAAACATGGATTTAACTAAGCACATCTTTATCTTTGAACTTTAATTCAAAACATTCTTCTTGTAATTCTAAAGCATACAGTTTTTGTTATTTTATTCTTATTTTTATCTAGTTTCTTCTTATAACAATTTTAGCATAATTTTTCACATACTAAGATTTATGAAATGCACTCATAAATGCTTATTAAAGATTTTCATGGTATACAAATTTTATGTTCAAATTTTACATATAGATATCAAAATAGTTGTTTTTTTAGGGTAACAACCCACCAAAGCGACAGTACCGATACCAAAATAATAGTTGAACCCATGGTAATAAATATCCGTTGAAAATAAATCAACATTTCTATAATGTTACAAAATAAAATCGACAAAATATTATTAATATAGATATAATATTAATAATTAAAGGATCAAATGCTTATTTTTTAATTTAAATAGCTTTTACGAATTTTTTGTTTTTATAACTTTTTGAAGAACGACATCCAAATTTTATTAATATTTCTATCGGCATTGTTTGGGAATTGGAATACGTGTAAATTGGATGAGATATGTAATTTAATTAATTTATTTAGTAGTTATTGTAAGAGTTGCAGAGGCAGCGCGTGTTCTCGAGGAGATCCGCTACCTGTTTCCCTCTCGGTTCTGTAACGTAGCATTTGACTGAGTTCGCCGGTCGGAGGGGGGCGTCACCGCACTCCGGCGGACGTTGCGTTGGACATCGCCGAAACTGATCGGAATCAGTGATTAACAATCGGAGATCCAGCCATCGAGAGGATCGGAGATCATAAAAATGTCGGCGGGGCCTCCTCTTTTTCAGGAAGCAGCACGCTGCGAAGTCTGCAAATGCAGTTTCAACACCTTCCGGCGACGGGTACAAAATTGTTCGAATTGAGCTACTGCAATTACAATAATTTTCGATTCTGTTTCGAGCTTTTTATCGCGAGATTGAACTATTTTTTCTATTTTTGTTTTGCAGCATCATTGCCGATGCTGTGGAAGGACGTTGTGCCACGAGCATTCTTCTTTTCAAATGGTATTATTCGTTCCTTTTCCTCTTGGTGGTTTTGCATAAATGGACTCTTTGTTTGCGATCTGAATAGTATATGTCTGTACTGGTTCGTGCATAATTCAGGCCTTGCCGCAGTTCGGTATTCATTCCCCTGTTAGAGTTTGTGCTGACTGTTTCAATAACTCCTCTCAGTAAGTCATGCTTAAATGTAGTCAATACACTTATCCTTGAAAATTAGCTGGTATTGGAAGTGAAGTTTCATGCGGAGTCCTTTGGCCATACAAGAAAGGATTGTATTAAGCTGAAGTTTTACTTCTCAACTCCTGTTTGATAATTCATTTCGTCCTGCATAAATTATAAGCTGAGAATTTAAAGTGCTTGAGTAGAAACTGAAAGGGAAAGATGCAACACGATACTTTATTTGATGCAAGAACTCCAGTTGCACCTTCTTGGTTGAAATTGCTTGTTAGAAGTTTCAAGTTCTAGAATATTGTTTCCTATCAAGAAACTTCAATTAAAAGATAAGAAACTTAAAAATTCTAATTGGAATCAGGCGTTTTTGTATCAAGGACTTAGGTTGTATGATAGTCCAAAAATTTTGGATTTTGGAACCTGTATATAGACAATCAAGAAAATTTATTCCTCATTTTTTTTTTTGATAACGAGCAAACTTATTAATTGGGTTTGCCATATCACAGATCTAGAGATGTTGGTCAATCACCATCCTTAGCTGTWGTTGATCAAGTTGCAGATACAGTTTCCCAATTAAACCTTGATGCAGATGTAAATTCTGAGTCTAAACCAGCTGTGGAGCATCAACCCGTGCTGGGCATTTCAGATTGCAAGTGTGGAATGCCATTATGCATTTGTGAAACTTCAATCCAGCCTATGGAAACAGAAGCAGTTCCTTCGCAGGTTTTAATATTTAGTGATTTCTAGTGCTCTTCATATATCAGCCATGCCCCTTATGGAACTTGATTATTCTTGTGGCAGAAGAAGACAACTTCCACCTCTTTTCAGTTCAACTCAAAACCAAAGAAGTCTGATTCCAATCTAAAGAATAGAGGATCTACCTCCAGCAGCAAGCTTCGGTATGTTATCTGGAGTTTGATTTATTCTAATAGGCTTGCGTCTGTCTTCTCTTTCTGACCCCATATATGGGAAAAGTAAGATAATCACACTCCTTCATAAGTATGTATGACTTGGGACAGAGACATTTTTTCATTGCATACATTCTTATGGATGGATTTAGTATCAGATTACCCTTTTTTAACACTGTTGGTGTTATTAATTTGGTAGATAAGTCGGATCTTAATCTGCAGTTGTAATTTTCATTATTGAATAGGAATCTTGCAGAGGAATCAAAGATTGATTATGAAGCAAGTGGCGAGGTATATAGTTTGTATTATATTAATATTTCTCTGCTGTCTGTTAAAGGGTTTTAAATTCTGCTTCATCTCTATAATTTCATATTCTTGCAGGGGTTAAGGGAAGCTATCAAGAACGGCGACACTAATGCTGTCAAAAAACTTTTAAGCGAGGTAATAAATTTCTTTCTGCAAATCAAGATATGTAATGGAATTATTTACCCTTTTCATGTTGGCAGGGCGTGGATGCCAATTACCATGACAAGCAAGGACTGTCTTTGCTGCATCTGGTATAGAATCTCTCTCTCTTCCCCCCACCTCACCCCTCAAGAACATGGCATTCTTGTCGGTTTAGAGGTATGATATTGAGATTAATATTACTTTGGATGTAGGCGGCAGTCTTTAATCAGACTGACATTGTTTTCGCTCTTATTGAGAGTGGCGCTAGACTGGACTACAAAAATGCACAAGGTAACTACTAGTCACTGGATCTTGATACAGAGTGTCTTAACATTTATATTAAATCAGAGTACTTTGAGTGGGAAGTTTTAGAATTGGGGCTGTTTAAAAGACTGTCTTGAAAGACACTTTTGTTTTTTAAGTTCTTTTAACCAAAAAATAACATTATTTATGTACAATGAATAATCACAAATGTGTGGTTTTAGAAGAATAAAATTTAACTTTTTCTAGAAATAACTCATTTGTAAGAACATGCTTTATTTTCTTTTGTTTTAGTAAAAAATTATTCAAACTTTTCTTCTAATAAAAATTTCATTATAAAAAACAGGAACTGTTCTGAAAACAAATTTCAGACAACCTTGATTATCAGTTCCATTACCTTTCTCTTTCTTCAAGCTTGGCGATTAAAAACAAAGAAAAATAATAACAATGGAAGGCTTCTGTGTGATTGCACTTACTACAATAAGGATAATATTCTGGTGGTGTCTGAAAGCCGTTAATTGTTAGCTTTCTAAATTACAGTGATGTTATTAGCATTTTTCTCTAAAAATTAAACAACCTAAGTCACGATTAGAATTTTTTATATTCCTAAAACATTATTCATTCAAAAATCTTATAATTATATATCGTCCCCACTCCCCTTCTGGCTGTTATTGCTGATCCCCGCAGCTGCCATCCCCCCTCACGTGAGAGAGGTGATTGTAAGTTGCAACTGAGTTGAAGCATAGACGTTCGTGTACTTAAGAGACTGATATGAACTGCCTGAGACTTTAATTTATGATAAACTTGTATTTAAAAGTTTCTGATGGAATTTTATTTCTTTTCAATTTTTACCCTTTCAAGAAATAAATTTATTAGAATGGAGAAATATCAACAGGGGAATTCCTACACGACCTCTTTCTAATTTTCACTTAAAATTTCTTTTGCTAGAGAAAGTGAGCATAAGGGAGAAGATAGTTCTCTTAGGAGAGAGAGGGAGAGGGAGAGAGAGAAGGCTGCTTCTTTTCTTGAATTCAACGTGCGGAGATGAGGATTCAAAACTTAGACCTTTTTGGTTTAAGACATATGCATTAACTAATTGAACTATGTTCAAGTTGGCAACGAATGTTTGTATGGTACTTGTAGATGCAAAGTAAAAGATCATAGGACCAAATAACATGTACATTGCTTGAGAATAACCTAAGAGAAATGCTGAGATATTACATAATGTTTATTCATTTTGATCACCACCACAGGGGAAACGCCATTGGATTGTGCTCCAGCTGCTTTGCAGTATAAGATACGAGAGAAGATGGAAGGACAGTGAAGGAGGAAGCTCAAGCAACAACTACCCACGTCACCTGGAAGATAAGATAACATCATCATTTTCTAGTAAATATTTCTTTAATTTCTGCTCCAGCGGCTTTACTTCTTCTTGATGTCTCAGACTGATAATGGGGCAGATAATTGGGCTGTTTCTGTAGAAGATTTCTGTTAAAATTCAAGCAATAAAAGACCATAAATCTTTAAATTAATTTCTCCTTTTAGATATTCAMTGCAGTAAGTGCTTGTTTTTAACTCGGTTTGTCTTTGTTATTTAGTGAAGAGGCTATTGAGATATTTGAAAAACAAGACATTGAAATCAAGGGTGGGAACTGTTTGACTCTAGATTTTACAAAGTAGCTTTGTGTGGCGGTGCTTAACATATTAGCTCGTAGAAGTTCTAAATTATTAAGAAGGAAAGTGTGAAAAATTAAAGGACATGTCAATACAAGAAATTCAAAAGTTAGAATCTGAACCAATTGTCCAAACTTTTTAGGAGATGTTTTGCTCATAGTTCTAATGGTATTGAGTTTTTTTTTTTAAGTTTTAGGGTTAGGAATATTGATTGTGTAATCTGTGTTTGTATTGCTGAAAAAGTGCAAAGCTTTGTATTACTAAAAAAATGCTATTTAAGATTCAATTCAAAAGGTCATCATGCTTGCTTCACTGCAATTGCTTCCCGCAACAAAACTTTGCAAGTGATGTTTACTGGTTGGTAGTGAGATCAGGTCTTTTAGTAACTCCATGCCCAAAAGAAAGGAGACACTAATTAAAAAACAATCATTTAATTTATTATTATTATTTTTTTTTTTTTTGCCTTCCTCGGCATGTTGTGTTATCATCGAACTAAGAAAGTATTTTATTACAAATGAACAGCATATCAAGGAATTATCCCTACTTTTTCCACAAAATCCACCTAAAAAAGGAGCATAGTTTGTTACAATATAAGGAAGCTTCAATTCACGTAGCCCGTAATATAACTCGTAACGCTCATTTATAACTTTTCGAAGTTCATTGAATCCATGGCCATGTTGAGTCAATCAAAAGATGCTAGTTTATCCTTGAACCGTTTCAAATTCATTGAATCCATTGCTATTGTACATAGAACTAGAAGTTGCAAGTTTTTATCATGTGTAGATTTGGAATTCTATCTTTCCAAGTGGCCAACATGTGAAAACATGATAGTTTTGGCTCTATTTGGGATGGTCTCCAAAAAACTTCTATGGTGGGCTTGTTCTTGTTCTTGTTTTTGTTTTTTTGTTTTTATTCTTTCTTAGAATTCCTAGATGAAGATCTTGATGTAGGTTGTAAAGAATGATGTTATGAAATATCAATTTCAATAAAAAGGGTTGGATTAAATTGATTCCATGTTTGAGATTCTTAAAAAATTATATCAGGTTAGAGTTACGGCAAATAATATTTTGATAGGAGTTCAAGAGAGAGCTAAACATTCATTTACTCATTCCTAGAGGCGTACTATCAGAAAAGCTCACAATTTCATCTTATGTTACCAAAGAAAAGTCTATTCTTTGAGCATTTTTACTTTGATTTCTTTATTTGTACCTTCTTGACTTAGGCTTCCACTTGAACGGGAAGTACACGTTCGTGAGACCTTAGTCGTAATGTATAGGAAAGTCAAGCAATGAACACGGAAGATAAAATAGTATAATCAACGCACTCGTGTCTTAGAAGTTTGGACTTGATTTTGAGTTTGGAAAGTGATGGGAAAGAAAATAGTTTTAAAAATATTCTAAAAGTTATTATGCTTGAGACACTGCTAGAAAGTCTTAGCTTAGCGATTGAGGTATATTGTTGTAAATTTACATATTATTGAAGTTGTATAATCCATACTCTCATAGTATCAGAAAATTTTAATGATATTTTACAAGATGCCTACGTGGCCAATTTGAATTGTCGTGACAAAATTTGTAATTTAATATCAAAGTTTACGGAATTTTTATTATCTCATACTTTTTCCTATGGAGCTTCCATCCTTGTTCATCCATTCTAATAGAATAAATTCCCAAACAAAAGCACTAGAGATGGTCCACGTTAACTTCTAACCTAGATTTTTAATGTGTCACATTTTTTTTTWAAAAAAATTAGATTTTGGGGTAAATATTATGTTTCTAATTCAACTTTCAACTTTATTTTATTTTGGTATTTTAATTTTCAATATCTTTTTTAACCTAAAAAAAACATATATTTTGGCACATATTATTATCTAGTGGTATGTCCTATACTAATATTTTGATGTAATCGTTTTTTATAACTATGTAGATTATTTTTTGTAAGTACGACATTTTTTTAATATTGGAAAAAACAAACTAATTATCTAACTAAAATTATTTTAAAACTAATTTTAAAAATATGGTTGCTTTTATATGGGCGATGACCTTGTGTAATTGGCAAAAAATTGTCTCTCCAATAGACTATTTTACTACGTACATGTAACACAAAGTCATCTTCAGAGACTACCGTGCCTCGTATAATAAAGCTTAGAGTTAGAAAAAAAAATCATCGAGATCATCTCTACCTGTAAACGATTTTGTCTCTTCAAGAGACATCATATGCCAACTTTAAATTATGTAGAGATGATGTTGCTTACCTCCACGTATGATACGTGTTAAACATGACATTCACGACTTTACTTTCAGTCTAATCTAAAAGACCTCGTACAAATTAAATAATTGTCCTCCTTTTTATACAATAGGATGAAATGCAACAATATAATTAATTTATTTTTTTTACCATATTAAAAAAATGTCCAACAAATATAGGAGTAAAGACATGAACCGAAGCATATAAGCCAGTAGAAATATACAATACATTCAATTTGTAATTATCTCTATTAATTATAATTTATACATATAATGCCAACAAGTTTCCCACCACAAATAAACTGTTCTTTTTCTGTTTTTTTGAAAAACCAAATTTAACTTCTTCTTTTTTTTCCTCAAACCATTTTTATTCTTCTTTTTGTTTGAGAAAAACCACATTTAAATTTCGCATAATTTCTTTTAGAAAAAAAAAATCCAGAGCCAAGATTGGGCAATTCGCGAGAAAAAAGGAAACATATATATTTTTTTGTTTGTTTCAATCTTATTCCACCGATTCTCCCTCGAATTTGATGAAAATAATGCGAATCCAAAACGAAGAAGGCACTTAGGACTAAAATCCCTTGATTCCCAAATGGAGATTTCAATAAATCAGCGACTTTTTGGTTGTGGGGACTGCGCCGACGCCTTGATATTCAACAACACCCTCCATTCTTTTTCTGTTCTTTGCAAGCCAACTTCGTCCATTTCTGTTCGGGAATGAAGTTCATGTAAGCAAAGAATCAATTGTTTCAGCAGAAGATCGAGGAGTGCGGTTTTTCCCCAATTCAGCGCATCTCGTTATGCAGAAGATCGAGGAAAAAATCAATTAAGTTTTTCGACGCTGATACTCGATTCAGGTCTGCTGATTCTCCCGCGCTGTAAAGTTTCTTTGCTTTTGGGATTCTTTGGTTGATATTTTTCCCCTTTTGATTGAACTGCTGGTGGATTTCTGTGCGTGATTTCCAGGCTGACTGATGTTTTAATTGTTTTTTTTTTGTTTCCGCCGTATCTGTTTGTTGTTTTTTAGGGTTTAAGACATGTTAATGGTTTATTGTAGCTGTGGCGGTGGAGGAATGTGAGATGTCTTAGAAGAAATTGATGTTAAATCGTGGAGGCTCGTTCCACCAAATATTGTACTATGCTCGATCACCTGTAATGGCGGCCCCTTCCATGACGCGGGATCTTCGTTTGGCGCATTTTAATCTGCAATCGCATCGTCCTCCTCAATCGTCGCTATTCGAACAGTGCTGCGGATTCCCCATTTCTGGAGAGCTTGTTCTGCGTAGTTTTCGGGGAAACCGATGCCCTCGGTTTGGTCTCAAAGCTTGCGTTCAATCCCCCAAAGACAATTACAGTAACGGCCCAACGCTTGTTCGTCGTCCACAGCTGCTTAACAATGTGGATATTGATTTAGTAGAAGGAATTGATCGCAGATATTCCATTGCTGTTCCGGGGGAATCCCAGTGGGGAAATCCTCTAACGTTCCATGAACTTTCTTCCAGGGATAAACTTATTGTTGCTGTCGACATCGATGAGGGTTTGTATTTTGCAATTTCCACTGCCCTTCCCTAGATTTTCATCTTTTGTTCCTCTAACTTATCTACTGTAACATGCCCCGATGGGACAGCCCAATTGGCAAGAGTTTGAGGCCTCTTATTCTTATTCATATTGGTTGGTGGCTTAGAGGTCTCAAATTTGAATTTTCTGATGAATTTAATACAAAAAATCTTTGGTGTCTCCCAAGTTCGGTGGGAGGTGCAGGTGCCCTTGGGTAAAGGGGAGCAGAGCTCCGACCCCCGGCTATAAAAAAAAAGAAAAAAACAAAGAAAACAAAAAAACTCCTCTTCTGTAACACTTCTTCTTCTTCCTTTGAACTCTATGTTTACTAGTGGTCTGGTGTCATGTGACAAGGACAGGAAATCTTGTATGTTGATATAATCTAGATGACTAAATCTATTGAATTGATGACTTAGTTGACTTAGAATTCAGCTACATTTGTTTATGACTTTGCATGACGATTACATGTGCTAAGATGGAGACTTGTTCTGGCCTGTACTTGATGTGAGCTAAGAATTTGATTATCCTAATAAATTATTGCTTGCAAATGATTATTGCTTTCTCAGTTCTCTTGTCTAATGTTTGTTTCTTTTGTTATTGTGTTGTCATGCAGTTTTGGGAAACTTTGTCTCAGCTCTTAACAAGTTTGTTGCTGATCGTTATTCTTCGAATCATTCAGTTTCGGAGTATCATGTCTATGAATTCTTCAGGGTATGAGATTCTGTGTATTATTTGTAGGGTTCCCTTTTGATTCCGAGTTTAATAGTCCTCAGGACATCCTGGGTAATATCTAATATGCACTAGTCTGATTTTGACTTTCGTTCCTGTTTCAGATATGGAAGTGTTCTCGTGACGAAGGTATGTTGAATAATATCAAATTTCATTCAAAAAATATGACGAGTTACTTTGAGGATTTATCACGGGGATTTAAGCTAAACTATATAGTTTTATGTTGAATAATCTCTATAATCTCTGCGGTGTCTTTATATTTGGAGTTGAAAAATCTACAGGATATTAATATCTTTGGGTTTGACCGGGGGCAAGCTGTAAACTTACATATTATCGAAGTTGTAGGCTCGAATCATAGTGACCACCTCTCTAGGAATTAAATATTCTTAGTTTTTTTATGCCAAATATTGTAGGTGGTTTGGTATGCATATATACAAGACTTATCCTGGGTCTTAGCAGTTGAATGTAAACCATACGTTCGAGGACTTCAAATCTATGATTTCAAAGTTAATTATGAATTTAACTCTAGTGTTGCAAAGGGTCTTAGTAATCAAAATAGTGTTCGTATCTCGAAGAGATCAGGACTTAAAAGATTGAAGATCTAGGACACATCTGTTCTTAAAAATTGAAATGGTTTTTAATTTTGATTGTTTAGTGAGAATTTTGAAAGGAAAATAGTTTTGGTTGTTACTCTATTTCCCGGTTGGTACTTTGTTTTGAAATTTGCACTTGCTTCTTTGAGAGATCTCTAGTCCATGACGTAACATGTTTGTGATTTTATTCTGTATAGAAAACTCTCGACGGATTTTATCTTTTCGCTTTTGAAGGTGTTCATGAGATATTTCTGTCCATGAAAATATTTTTCTCAACTTGGTTTAATTGTGGTTCTGAAACTATCCTGATTTCCAGCTAATGTTCGAGTTCACGAGTTCTTCAAGACGCCATACTTCAAGACTGGAATCTGGCCTATACCTGGTGCTCAGAGCACCCTTCTCAAGCTATCGAGATTCTGTCACCTTTCAGTCGTAACGTATGTATTGCAACACTCGATGATTTCGATACGGTACCGATTCCTCCTTACGGAAAAATGAACTGATCTAACTGTCTTTGAACGATAATTTTAGGTCCCGACAAAATGCAATCAAGGATCACACACTCGAGTGGATCGAGAAACACTATCCGGGACTGTTTCAGGAGATTCACTTCGGAAACCACTTTGCTCTGGATGGAGAGTCTAGATCAAAGGCAGAAATATGCAAGTATGTTCAAATCCTTACACTACCCATCATTTACTTTTGATAAATCCCATCTCTTAGCTCATTTAACCTTCACCCCAATCGAAAACATTCATTAGAGTAACAACATCATTTTTTGATGGTGCCGTGGTCGATCGACCGGGCAGGTCTTTGGGAGCAAGTGTACTGATTGATGATAACCCGAGATATGCAATAGAATGTGCTGAAGCGGGGATTCGAGTTCTACTTTTCGACTACGAGAATTCGTATCCATGGTGCAAGACAGAGTCTGAGGATCTGCCCCCCTTAGTCACTAAAGTTCAAAATTGGGAAGATGTTGAGAAGCAATTAACTTCATGGGTTATTTCTTCTTAGTTCTTAGGCCTTAGAACTTTAATATTTTTAATTATATTTTTCTTACTACTTAACAAGTAGGGTGATATTGAGTTGTGTCGTGTTTTTAGACCAACGCCAAAATGGAAATGCATTTATTTGCTATATGAGGTTTGTTCGTTATTTTATTGCCAATCTAACATAGTCTAATTGGTCAAGGCATGTATCTCACGAGTTCGAAATAGCTTAATTGGTTAAGACCCATAATTTCACTGAGGTGGTAAAAAAAAAAAAGTCACTCCTATGTGTTGTAGTCAACAAAAAAAAAAGTTATGAATAATATAATATTTGATGTAATATTAAGATCATCGTTAAAACTTAAACTCATCTTTCATTATCCCATCATTTAATTTTCTTTTTATATGTTATAATTTTATCTTTCTTTCTTTTTATCTCATTTTGGTCTTCGGGAAGGAAGATATTTTACTTGCTTTGAAATTAGAATGGTCGTTTTTGCTCAATTGCACGTCGTAGACTCTAAATGTTTCTCTACTTCATAAGGCCCTCTGACCCTCTATCAGCAGTTGGAAAAATTATTCCATGTGTTTCTCTCCCTCATATATGATCAAAGTCAAACTACTATTTTTAAATCTTCTCACTAATTTAATTATTATTAATTAATTAAGACATATTCTCGAACATAACACCTTCGAATATTGTTCTAACTCAATATATATTAAAATTTCTCAATATACATCCAATGATTAGGATTCACATTATTCCAATCATTCAAATAAATTTTTTTCAAGGAAATGCTTCTTTTTTGTCATTCAACTTTTTTAGCCTTAGAAGAGGTATGAATCTTAGTAAAGCATTCAATCCATCGCATTACTAACCTTATCAAAAAAAAAAAAAATGGTTGATTGCAACTTAGCATATGAAAGTCAACCCTAAAATGAGAAATAAAATTCCAAAGTCAATGCTTCCTTTTTGTTGTTTAACTTTTTGGTTTTTAGTAGATGTATTAATGCTACGAAAGGATTCGATCAATTGCATTCAACTTTAACGATCGGATGATCGCAACTTACTGTACAAAAGTTGACATTCAAATGAAAGATCTAAATAAACATGGAAATAATATATGAGAACGTCAATAATGACATACTTGCCAGGGATGATAGGAATTCACGTCAACCTTACCCAATTAGTAATAAAGTATTGTTCTAATAGAAATTCCAATGACATAATTTTTTTTTTTTGACGTGTGTATAAAGAAAAAATAAAAAAAGGCAAAAAGTATACCGTAGCAGGTAATGTAAAAAGACGCTTATTATTGAAGGATCATATCAATGGAAACTTTATTTAGAGGATCATATCATATAAGTTATACAATATCTAGACATCAAAATTTACCCGTGGAGTTGTAGTGTAACAGCCGCATACAGTTCCTTTTGATGTCAAAGATAATTATTGACTTACACATTACTATAATAAATCTTTGGAGCTATAGCTAGTTGATTGTACCATTTTTGTTTTATGAGAAAGAACCCAAGTTAGCGTTCAACCGTCTCAGTTAGCTTGAAACCATAAGCTTGTAAAAGATCCAAGGCTGCAACATGATAAAGTAATACGTTAGCAAATTAAATCCATTGTATAATAAACGGTAAGTTCTTAAAGTAATTTCATATATAGCATAGAACCACATATATTTACGCGAGCGTGTGTGTGTGTGTGTGTATATATATAGGATCCGAAGAGCCTAACTTTTAGATAGTTCTACTCACATCTCAAATCTACATAACTTTCGAATATGTCTTTAACTAAGAGTGTTTTTTTTTCCAACAAGTTGAGTATCCTGAAAATTTCAAGCAACTTAACCTAATTCAATTTTAGTTTGAGCTTAAAAGTAATTTGAGTTAGAAAAATTAACTGAGTTTAAAATGTAAGTGAGTATTATGATAACAATAAATTTATGAATATATATTATCATTCGTTTGGTCCACCTAGTGGACCCAAGAACCGGACCAAACCAACTGGGTTTAGAAAAAATGTAACCCAAATTAATATTCAACCCAACCGTGTAAATTAGGTCAGGTTGTTTGGATTGAGGTCGTTGGTTTTTTTAACACCCATAATTAATGACCATTAATCTTACATGGTAAAACTTTTTTTTCTAAAAAGATTTCTACACAAATTTGGTTGTCATATTTACAAATCTATCAGTACAGAAAAATAATTTGCAAATATGTCAATCATTTTAACTTTGCATAACTCCATTCGTGCCCCTATATACATTTTCATAATCAGTGATATACCGTTTTCATAATCAGTGATAACCCAAGTAGTAAATCAGTATGAAAACTAAATACCGATATACCATTTTCATAATCAGTGATAACCCAAGTAGTAAATCGTTATGAAAACTAAACACCGATAGAAAACAAAAGTTACATGATCATTGATATAAAATTTTAGTTTTATTAATATAGTGTATCAATGATAAACCAAATATGACATGAGTATGCCAAAAAAAATACTAATAGAAAATGAAAATTAAATAATTACCGCTATTTTTATAGAATCGATATGGTAAATTATTGATAGACCAAATATTATATAAGCATGCAAATAATGATAGAAACCGAAATTACATAATCACTAATAACATTTTCATTTTATTGATATGGTATATCAACGACCAAAGAGCAATTCAACATACAAAAAGAACACGGATAAAAAACCAAAATTACATAATCACTGATATACCATTTTAGTTTTATTGATACGGTATATTAGTGATATACCAAATATTAAATAAACGAAAAAAATAACACTAATAAAAAACAAAAGCACATAATCACTAATATTGATATGGTATACCTGTGAAAGGCCAAATAGAAATTCAACATGCAAAAAAGAACCCTGATAGAATACCAAAATTACATACTCACAGATGTACCATTTTAATTCTATTGATATAATATCAAATAAGCACACAAAAAGATAATAATAAAAAAAAATAAAAGTTACATAAATATTGATATATAATTTTTATTCCAATATAACATATAATTTTTATTCCATTGATATAATATATCAGTAGTCTATTAGTGATAGACGTCTATCGCTAATAGTGCCTATTAGTGATAGACTTGTTTCACTGTTTGTAATTTTTTTTAGCTTCAGCTAGATTTGCTATTATGAACTATAAATGCAATTGACCTATTATTCTAATGCATATTCGTGCTAATGATTTAACAAACGGATATAAACCAAGAGGAAATGACGTTTGCACTTACCTGGATTATAAACTTCAGGTTGAATAGGCCTTAAAACACCTCGTGTCTTGATTCTATTGGTCAATAAAAGCTGCATTGACATAATATAAAGTCAACCAAAGTTCAAACTTTAATTAAGGATCAATATGGTACGGCAATGTACAGGTGGTTTACCAAAGCTCCAATAGCTACTGGAATACCAACACTAAGAGCCATTGCGCTGGTGGACTTTCCATTGCCCATTCTTCCAAATTCTAGTAACGTGGCCTTGCGACACTCTCTATGTTTGCCATCACGCGATTCTACTTGTATTTCATGATACACAAGTACCATGTCCTGATCATAACAAGAATCTGAACTTATTAACACTGACAAATACATGAAATATGTCTAATATATGATGCATGGTACAAGATATCGTTTATTAAAAGAAGAGAGATGAGTACTACTGGCCTTCCAATTAGTATCACAAGAGGATTAGTAATAAAATTTTGGACAGAATACACTTTAGGTCATTGACATTTGATCCTGGTATCTATCTGGTTCTTAAATTTTCAAATAAATTATTCTAAATGATTCCCGAGTTAAGTTGACGGTCAATTGACTAACAAAAGGATGACATGGATGGTACTCGATAGAAAAAACTTAATTCTCCTATTCCTTTGGCACTTCTACTGCGAATACTCAACATAGCTTCAGGCTTTGCCAAAGAGTTGCAAAAGTCTTTTTAGATAGTTGTGGAGGCAAGGTAGAAACTACTGGTATTGGAGCCCATGGATTTTTTGAGTTGAGATAAATGTAACATGGTTTAGCCAAAGAGTTGCAAGTTATTCTTCTTCCGAAAATCAGTGACCAACATTATATAACCTCAAGAGTGCTGGTATATTAAGAATGATCCGTAGGTAGACAATATTAGATTTTTAACAATAGGTCGCTCAAGGGTGTCTAAATTTGCAACGACCTGATAATATAGTATATTTTTTCTTTAATAAGATTGAATAAGTTCAATGAATGGTCATAGTTTGTCGCATCTTATAATTTCAAAACTATATTATTTAATGAAATTTTCTTCAGTCAACTATTTTAAGAAATCACCTAAAATCTGACAAACAAAAGAGAACCCTCAATACTCTTTTGCCTTTTTTTGACATCAAGATACATGAGACAAACAAAGTATAAAACGTAGCTGTCTAATAAATTTCAGATGGCTAAAACATAAAAAAAATATGAATGATCATTTTAAAGGGAAAAAGAAAGTGTACCTGCTCATTTGTTAAGTAGGTTAACCTTTCTTCCATTCTGTGACAAGTAACATCAAATGCACTTTGGCAAGATGAAGGAATCTCTGTTGGCTCATGAAGTCCCAAAAATCTAATCCATGAAAATGATAGATGTCAATGTCGTTGTTAGCCACTCATGCAGAATATAAAACTAATTTTTTGAACATAAAAAGAATGAGAAAGGGCTGCGTACACGATTGTTTTGGCCACTTTTACAGCAGTTTCTTTCTCCTTGCAGAGTCCACTAGAAATAATGCTATCGCTAATGTCATTCTCTCCAATCGAAAGGCTGTTAGATTCTTTTCTAATTTTGAGAAGTTCAAGCAAGAAATCTCGGAACAGTGGTTTCGTCCTATTCTTAAAAAAGGAATTAACTTCAGTGTTTAGGAATCCAATTTTTGCCAGAGTTCCCATCACTTTGCAAAATCCTGTACATAATAGCAGTAAACGAGTTACAGAAACAAAATTTCTTAAATGAAATCAGTAGACCTACATGCCAATCACTGCTAAAGTTGTTTTGTTTTTGTTTTTGTTTTTGTTTTTTTAGTCCTCACAAATAAATGTGGAGTATGAAGATTTGAATCTCCAACCTCGAGAGAAAAGTATGTCATTTACTACTAAGCTATGCGATAAAAATAGCATTTCTATTATTTATAATCA